TTATCTGCAGCAAGATCAAAGTCCTATTGTTGTCAAAAACCAAACCGAAGTCCCACTGGAAAGCTAGATGGTCAAGGTGTGGGGATGCCTAAACAGTGAGACCCTAACCACCCGGCATTCAGCTGATGCTCAAATAGTTGGGGAGCACAAATATCTATGTCAGAATTGGATGAAGAATGTAGCTGATGCTGATGTGAGTGTCACACAATCCTTTCTGCTAAACAGAACGCCTATGCTAGGATTCTAGTTCTACTAGTCCCCTACCAAACCCACCACCCAATCCTAAACAATTTCCATTATCCTCTGTCCTTGTGTCTCCTCCGATTCTTTCCAGCCTACACCTGATCGTTTAAAACAACTGTTCAGTTTGGTTCGATTCAAACTCTCTACTGCATTCTGTCATCAGTAAGCAATGTTGTCAACAATCAAACTGCCCACTCCCCTGCTGTGTCCTTTTCAGATTTACCTGTCCACTTTGGGTCTTGATTGGATCAGTTCAATATTTCAAAGCCATGTTTCCCTTTGTTTTTGCCTGTTTCATGGGGCTTCAAATTGGGTCAATGGCATCTCCTTCTGCCTGTTATTTTGGGCTTTAGATTTTTCTTTTATTGTACAGCTAAAACTTCCTGGGCCTGAAAATTGTTTAACACTGCTTACCCTTCACAAGAATTGGGCTAAGAGCCCATTTCCTAGACAAAACCCCATGATCGATTTTTTTTAATATTTATATACTATTTCTTAAACATTCTGCTTCATAAATATAAATTTATGAATTTTTTGAATTTTTATTTGACAGTGAATTGTTTTATATAATTATATGAAAATGTGAATTATATATTCATCCTTTTAGATCTTTTCAAAAACATAAAAATATTAAAATTTAACTAATTTATATATATAACGTGTGCACTTCATCCTCACAATTTATATAACAAGTTAAATCCAATTCCAGTATTTCATTTTCAAACATATTTTCATAAGGAAAAAAATCAGATTATATTTACTTTTTGTTTCAAATATCTATAATAAGAGAAAATAAAAAATAAAAAAGATTTGAATCTTGATCTATTCACTCTTTTTCTCTTAATACCCATTCAAAGGCACAAGGGGGCATTAATTTTAAAAAGATAGTTTCTCTCATCTGATGTAAGAATTTTGAATAGTACGATGCAAAATTATGCTGTCTTTTTCTCATAAACTTTACTTAGTCCATTTAAGATTAGAATTTAAATTTTTTCATACAAAATTTCAAATTTTAATCGACAAGAGATATCAAAACACAGACAATTGCCTCTGTATTTAATGTAATACATAGAGATTTATTAACAGAATATAAAGACTAATAACTAAAGGTTTGTAGAAAAGACTATGGTCTTCTCTATTTCATCAATTCTTGTGTTTCCAGCAAGTCTTTATTCAAAGTTCCCTGGCAATGCCTAGGAAGACCATCCACCCAAAGTTAAGGACTAAGCAGCATATTCAGTGCATTGTAAGTTCCCAGTCTAATTTCCTGTCAGTACCTAGACTTTCCAGGTCTAAGGCAACCACAAAACTTATGTCAAAGACAGTTCAATTAACACATAAGAGTGTGGAATTTAAGTTGTTGCAATGCTTCACATGGCCATGTGAAACTGCTGTTATGAACTTGAGCATTGCAAACTGGCAATTAAAATGATTGTGGAACCTAATTTCCGCCAGAATTTTAGCTTTCATTTAACATCATTCGAATTGGCAGAGGCATTGAATCTCAATCATGAGGGGGCCCATGAGTCAGCCTGCCCCAATTTAAAGAGAAGAAAAGTCTTTTTCTGGTTCAGAATTTCTGTCCAGACTCATCCTCTTTTTTGTTTGTTTCTCTTCCAAATTGGAGAGGTTTGTAGAGAAATGATACTAATTAAAGCAATTTTTTACATGATCTTCGGAATCTATTCTCCAAATTTATTGATTTGGGTTCAAAGTTATATTACAATCCTTTTGAGGAAAACAATTACGTTCATACTGGTTTTAGAAAAGCATTACTCCGAAAGAAACTCTTGAATTATTAAAAAAAAATTTAAGTAAATTTATATATTTTTTATTGTGTTTATGTAAATTCATATATTTTTATTTTAAATTATATATTTTTTATGATTAATTATTATTTAATTAAAATATTACTTGTCATTCTATATATATATCATTAACATGATACTTTCTACTTCAACATCACAAAAATAACAAGTGACAATGAATTAATAATTAGTTATAAGTATTTATTTAAATTAAAATAGAAATATAAAAGTTCGATTAAATGTAATATATAAATAAGAGTATATTTCAATTTTGATGTGATGTGATGTTGAAGTAGAAAGTAAAAAATATCATAACATGTTAACATATCATGTTAATACCACGTAATATAAAATGACATATAGTGTTTTGATTAATGATAATTAATCAATTGTTAGTTATAAGAACCTATTTGATCCAAAATAAAAAATTTTAAAATTTGATTGAAAATATAAAATAATAAAAAATTTAAATTTTTTTTAAATTAATACATAAATTTTTTTAGATATTATGCCATAAACCAATCTATTATTGCAAACATATTCATTTTCCACTGAATAATTACTTGCCTACCATGATCTGAATACTAATAAAGAAAGTAAGTTTTCTTTATCTGCTCTAATTATTTTGAGGTTCAAAATAAAGCAAAAGTATATGATAAAGAACGTTAAACTGACACTTAGTGATTAATTTATTGATTAATATATTATTCTCCTATTTAAAAATAAAACTCAAATATCTTCTTTTTCAATTATTAAAAAAAAAGTTAAACTGAAATTGCAGTAGCTGTCCAAGAAATGGGAAACCGTGTTCTTCCTTATCAATCAGTGAACCTAGGAAAAGTATTCAATTGCCAAAACTATAGAAAGTTCTAGGCAATTGCAACGAAAGCGACCTTTGTTTTCTTCCAACACTTCTGTCTCATTAAACAAAATCACCATCCATTCCATAAAAATGAAAATCAAAATTTACCTATACATTTTTAGGATTTTAAATTTTTTTATATGATATTTTATGATTTTATTTTTTTTAATTAACATTTTATGAATAATTTATGTTTTCACAGAAATTAAAAAATTATTAATTTTAAGTAATAAATTTACATTCAATTCAAAGTTAACATTAAATATGAACAAAAGACTAATTTCGAATTGAGAGTGTTATGATAATTTTATTAGATAAAATTAACTGCTTAATTTACGGGAAAATAAAAACTATTCACAAAGTGTTAATTAAAGAAAAAATATATTCACACAATATTAATTGAGAAAGAAAAAATCCACAAGAGGCCGAAATTTCTAATGAAATTAAACACTTGTTATAAGTAGAAGAAGAGAATATTAATTAATAAGGCCTTGCCTATCAATATTCTCATTAATACTTCATATATATTGCTATAACGATTTACCCAATAAGGTAAAAAGACTTGTTGGGGTCTTGACTCTTGAGCGGAGACTTCCAAGTCAAAGCACCCATCAAAGCCACGAAACTCTTTTTTCTGTTTAGACCTTATAATAATTTATGATGGGATCAAAAGACTAGAAGAAAGAAAGCAGAATGGGACCAAAATATGCTGAAAACGCGTAATTTGCCTTTGAATTGATAACTTGTAGAAAAAAAAAATTTGGAGTCTTTTTTATTTATTATTATTATTATTATTTTTATGTTATGGATACTTAGGTTTACTATTATTCTAAAGGGAAAATTGACCCACCACCTGTGAACATGCTTTTGCATTTCATGAAGAATTACTTTATTGATTAATGGTTGGTGTGATTACCTTCATAGATGTTTGTTTATTTATTCCAACGATCCTCTTTAAGGATTCATTCCCTGCTGGGCGGAGTCATCAAGTCAACAGTTAAGTAGGGAAAGTGCTAATCGTTCCATGGATCATGCTAAACATGTTTATCTGATTCTGTATCATTGATCCAAGATATTATGGCTAACGCGGTTTTTCACTCGTGTTCGTTTGTAAAGTTTATATTTCAATGTGATCGAGATCATATTGGATTAAAAGAAATTTGAGTTGTCGAAAGAAATAATTTATAATTAAATAGTTATAAAACTTTGGGTTTATAGTTTGATTTTGTCTGTAACCCAATTTTGCTTTTGGCTTTCGTTTTCACATACGAAGAATAAGCTATGACAGGGAGTTTCATACTCTGTATGTGCTGTACTGCATGATTACTACCATGCAAGGGTAATAGTTGTATACTAGTTCTGAGTAATGAAATCACTTCAATTGTTTTTTTTTTATTTAAATTATAAAATTCCATCAATCACTGACATCTTTATTTTTGATCCAAATTGCATGCGTAGTAATGCAGTGTGTATGTTTGCTGTAGGGTTAGTTGTTGCCTTGGTTGGTTTAGATGGGTCTAAATTTCAAGTCTTTTAAGCAGGGTGCAATGCTTCATTCATGGTCGTAGCAGCTTCAGATTTCTCTTGAAAAAGAAATCGTAGCTTTCGATTGCAATTTACTACTGCCGAAATGGTGGCAGCAGAGAGAATTTTAGTCCTTATGACCAATTCAAATTAAGCTAATTACAAGGTTGGAAGAGGCTAAAAGACCAGCTGACTACCGATATGTATTTTGAAACTTGAATCTGCAATCCTAGTTCATTTGTTCAAAGATCAAATAAGTGGCAGAATTTTACTTGGAAAATAAAACCCCTCTGTGCCTGGAATTTCCAAGTAAAAGTCCACAAATAAAAGAAAAAGGAGGTCAAGCAAGAACTCAGAAAGAAGTCATTGTCCGCCTCACAGGATTAGTCACCGGAGACTTTATTGTGCTTAAGCGTGTGGGTTCCACCAGTTGGGAATAGACCTCTGTCCCCTTTCTGCAGATACTCCAAGTTTTTCAAGACTTTTCTGCTGCCTTGCAATGTTTGATGACTTGGTCCTTTCCCAGTATTTATCAGCAATGTTTTATTTACCATCCCTATAAATATCTAACAAGACTCCGTCTTTGCATGCAGCAACATTTTTCGTTTTGCATATTCTATCTTATTCACCGACTACATATCCTAAACCAAGCTGAGAACCTGAAAACTAACTACAGCAGTATAATTTCACTAACCACTATGAGCAGCTGTCAATCCAATATAGATGATCCCACCCCAGAGATTGAACTTCCGGGCTTCCGGTTCCATCCAACTGAGGAAGAGCTCCTTGATTTTTACCTCAGAAGCATGATTTATGGCAAGAAGTTGCGTTATGATGTAATTGGGTTTCTCAACATCTATCACCATGATCCCTGGGACTTGCCTGGTACATATATATATATATATATATAAATATATATATGCTTTAGTTTGTTTGTTTAAATGACATAGGCATATATATATAACTGGTTATGCTTAAGATGTTTTTTGCTTATTAATGTTGTATAGGATTGTCAAAGATTGGAGAGAGGGAGTGGTACTTTTTTGTGCCTAGAGACAGGAAGCATGGCAGTGGAGGGAGGCCTAACAGGACTACTGAAAATGGATTCTGGAAAGCCACTGGTTCTGACCGGAAAATTGTGAGCTTATCAGATCCAAAGCGCATCATTGGCCTGAAAAAGACTCTTGTTTTCTATAAGGGGAGAGCGCCCCGAGGAAGCAAGACTGATTGGGTCATGAACGAGTATCGTCTCCCAGATGGTCACCCCTTGCCTAAGGTACCTTTTTCATTTTCATTGTTTAAGTTAATTGGCGTTGGCAGCCTCTAATGTGGGGATTGGGGTTCTTTCCCATGAAAGATTGAGTTCTCCTTCCACGTTTATAGCATCATATGATAGAAAATGGGGAACCTAGTGAAGAATTACTGTTCTCTGCCATAAATGCTTTTGTAGCAACGACATTTTCAAACTGTTAAACCCTTGAGGAATTAAAAATTAGAAAGACCTGGCTTTTGACTTCAGTGTTCCTTATCTTCAAAACCAAACTTTCTTAAAGGAGTTTTAATGCAAATGATTTAGGTCAATTGCAAATAAAGATAATGTGAACACTTTTGTGTTAAGACATATGAAGGGTCCCAACTTTTGTCATAAGATTTGAATAAAAGTTAATGTCATTCTCATTTATCTGACAAGTGTACCGATACATTTTTCTGATGTTGATTTCTGTACGAATGCAGGACATAGTTCTGTGCAAGATATATAGGAAGGCAACTTCCTTGAAAGTCCTGGAGCAAAGGGCAGCACTGGAGGAAGAGTTGAAGGCAATGAACACATCTCCTTCATCTCCACTTTCATCCTTAGAGACCATCTCTTTCTGCAGCCCAAAAGAAGATGTGGTGCCATCAATTTCTGTACCCCAAGTGGTCTTGAAGAAAGAAATCGAAGAGGAAGAAGCCATGGTAGAAGAGAAAAGAGATGGAACAGCAAAGGAGAACGAAACTCCTTCAACATCTCTGCAATTCCCATTAGGCAAGGAAAAATTGCCAGAGCTCCAAGTACCCAAAATGACCGACTGGAACCAGGATCAATTTTGGACTCAGCTAACTAGTCCCTGGTTTCAAAATCTGACACCGTATGCCAACATCTTGAATTTCTAGAGCCTAAATTACTATGCAAAGCTTAATTTAGTCTCTGATGTTGTATATATATAAGCTAGAATTATCTAGTACCATAGTATTACTTTAAGTACTTAATGTCATCCCTCTCACTGAAGCAGAGGTTGCAGCTTCAATCTTTGGAAGCCTTTGCTGTTTCTGTTAATGCAAATTTTTTCCATAAATTTTACATCTAATTTTTCTTGATATAGCTAATGGAAAATTGCAAACTTGATGCCAATCTTGAAAAATTAGTTCATGAGCAAGCCTTGGTAAAATTGGGCTTCTACACTCTTTCGCTTGAGTACAAAAAGCCCAAAGGGAAGAGAAATGAGCATGAGCCCATGCTCCCAAGCCGTTCTCTGGGAAATGACACGTATCTGCTGCTACTGCTGCGGTTTGATATTGTCTTAAAATTTCAACATAATGTTCTACAAACAAGGAAAAATATGAAAATCAAAGGAAACCATCCATTTTATTATTCTTTGGGAAAGCAACATCAAGACTACATAAGCTTTCAAACATCTTCAGACAACAATTTGAGAGAAGCATAGATCACAGTGCCATAGCAAATCCAACAAATTGGATCAGATCGCTGTTCTGGTACATTTTAAAAACGAAAGCCCTAAACATCTTTGTTTACCAATGTCATTTGACACTAAATTGGCTACATTGAGTCCACCGAGAGTCCATTGTTATAAGACCTCTGGTTGTAGCAGTCGAGATTGTTACCATAGCCAACTCCAAGTATGTCACAATACCTCTTATAGAATCCAATGCGGTCCTCTACCTTTGCATTCCAACCTTGACCGCATTCAAGGCCGCCATTGATAATATTTGTGATCAAACCAAACCCTGGAACCCGGCCTGCCGCCTGGTCGCTACCGGAGGGTGACCATGCTCCAATGATCACATCGTGGCAAGAAGGCTTTGGTGATTGTGGAGTCATCCAGAACCAGAATGCTGACTTGAAAGAAATTGTAGGATCAGTTGCTAGCAGGTCTGGGTTGTTTAATAGGTCCACCCCTATGGCTCTTCCACACTGCCCATAGTTGTAGTTCCTGATATATCAAAAGCTAAGTTATTATTCCAGTGTCAACAAAACAACTTTGTCTTACCATAAATATATTTCAAGAAAAGAAATTAACAAACGGTGAAAGGCTTACCAAGTAAGTTGCATTGGACCCCGGCCAAAATATTGCTTACCAGGGGCGCAAGGGTAGTTTGGATCCCACTGGCAGTAATCAGCGGGGTTTAATTCCCTATTGTAGCAGTATCCCCATGTATATGGACCATCGGGTGCAGCCCATCCTGCTCCACCTACGGTATCATCAAATTAATTCTCAAAACGATGAACTCATGTTCAAAACATGGTGAACTTTGTGTTTAACTTTCGAACTGGACTAACCAGTAGTTTCGTGAGAAGTTTGGGCCAAGAAAGCAGCAACTTCCCTCTTGCGAGCGGCATCATCACCGGTTGTAGCGAAGGCAGGAAAAGACTTCGCAGCAGCTATGAAAGCATCATAGGTATAGAAGCCACGAGCAGGACAACCACCATCATTTCTATGCAAAAGCAGCTGATCAAACCTTTCTTTTGTTATCAGACTATCAAGTCCACCAGTATCACCTCCGCCTCCGCTGCACTGACTCTGGCAACCATTTTCCTTTTTGCAGTAGTCATCAGTGTTGCCACACCAACCATATTGGCTACAACATAGGCCTCCAGGGCACAGGGCACCACCAGCTTGCCATCCACACTGCTCAGCTGAGCCCAGGAGTACATAGGATAAGAACAAAGAAAAAACTGACAAGGCCCGAAAGCTCATTTTTAATGGATAATATCTGTGATTTTGTCAATGTGTGGGAGGGTGAGAGGATGGACATACAGACATATATATATATATAGTGAGAGTGATGGAGAAAGACCAGATATTTTTTAGTTTGTATAATTTTATGGTACAAATTATACCATACCCATATATGTACCCTTGACTTCATTCAATTGCGCTGGCAGATTCTAACTTCTCTCATCTTATCTAAAAAGGGCCATTTTATTAACAAAAGGTTGGAAAAGATGGGCATGTGGGCGGCTATTGAATCATGTGAGCTTCTTGCACATGAATTCTATCATGGGCCAATACACAAAATAGTAGTAATGTACTGTTGCTCGACAGTCGCTACTGTCTGTGCGTGAGAATCCAACAACAATGGCTTGCATAGAGTTAAATACTATGAACAGGCAAAACATGCCAATTAATATGCCATACATTGATCTAGATTGATGGTGCAACATCGAGTCATTGACTGAAAGAGCTATCAAGCTCCTTTCAATGGATGCTTAGCGCGTATTTTCCACACACACAAGCAAAGCCGACCGAGATTTTTCAATAAAAAAAAGGCAAGCTTGAGGCGGCTTTTGATATCTTTTCTAGTCCAGAAAGTAGGTTCTGGTGCATTGCACTTATTCTTGAAGATCATTCTGTGACCAAATTGACTCCGTCACGAAATCATTTTACTCGCGAGTGTGAAACTCCTTTTGTTTGTTTGAAATATGGACAGAGACGACAATCAGTATATTGCGGTAACATGATTTTTGTCCTTTGTCTCATTGCCAACCAACGCTTCTTTTCTTGTTTTGTTTTTCTGCCATAAATGCAGGGTGAGAGTTGTTGCCAGGAATCTATATATTTTCCGATGAGATCATTCTATAATCATATGTAGCAGATCCCCCGAACTTGCTTCAAGAAAACCACGGAGAAGCTGAACAAATCGCTGTCTATGAGTACGTCGTCAAGAAAAGACATAATATTTATAAAAAAAGTTGAATTTTATTCAAAAATAAAACAAATTTTTATTTTTTATAATTTTTAACCAAAATGATATATTTTTATTTTAAATAAAATAAATTTTTTAATTAATCATTAATCAAAACATTGTTAATATGAAAAATAAAAACTATTATGTGATTATGTTATTAGTTAGATCAATATATCATATCAATTTTTATTATAATATATTAACATATTATGTCAATATCATATAATATAAAATAAAAAATTAAATTTTAATTAATAATAAATTATTAATTATTACTTATAAAAATAAAAATATAAAAATTTACTTAAATATAATAAAATAATAAAAATTTATTTAAATTTTATTAAACATTTCAAGTATTATACTTTTAAAAAAACAATGTAGAGATCACTTGTTTTGTCCGTAGTAAGAATAAGTAAATTCATTTTGAGTTTTTATTGAGAATTTATTTTTAGAAAGAATTATGTGATCATTAAACTTTTTTATTAATCCTTAACAGGAATTTTTATTTTTATTTATTATGTAATCTCTCCTAATCATGCATATGATTTGGAGGGACAAATAGTCCTGAGATAAATGTTGGATCAAAAATTAATAATCCCAAAAATCTTCTCCATTTATTTACGTACTTAAAAAAATAATTGTTTTATGAAATTTTTTGTTGAAAGAAATTCAAATTTTATCAAAATTATTTTTTATAAAAATTATTATACTTAAAATTAGAGTATATTAAAAAATTACCGGGTAGGCTAGTGCCTAACATTAGGGTTTCGATAGTCTTGCTGACCTTTTACCTATCTCAATCGTAATTGTAATCATTTTTTGGATAAGATCAATACAGAAAAGGTTAAGAAAAAGAAATCCCATGTAAGGGTTTGATCATTGGCCAATAAATTTGAAATATTGGAAACAATCAAAGCTTGTTGGGACCATAAGAAAATGAACTAACGTCTATCCTTATCATGATTACCATTGTTATTATTATTATTAGTATTAAATTAATCTAGCAACTGTGCATTTGATAAAGATACATGCAACTTGATATATGCTTAGGAATCATCGAACAAAAGATTATTTTTTTTAGCAATTTTTTATGCTTTACTAAGGTGGGGTTTAGGAACCCTTAATTACAAACACTAGCAATCAACAAATCCTATGATCTTAGCTGTCACTTTGAAGCAATGCAATGTCCAGAAGGTTTGATTAATGTTTCTGGATTTAATCCTTTTATATGTATAAATTCATTATATGAGAAATAATTAACGTCATATTTAACGTATGAATTTGTGGATGAAAATTGGTTTTTATATTTAAAATTGTTAATCTATAAAATATGTAAAATATTTAATCTTAAGATAATGAGAGTAGTCAATAGTTTGGTGAGGGGAAAAAATCATTTTGTAAATTATCAAAAGCATGATTAAAATTTCAACAAATTAAGATAAAAGTTTTGACTTCAATATATTTTATATTAGAATTTGAAAATTTTTTATGATATAAATGTCTAATGCTTTAATATAAAAAATAAAAAAATTATGAAAAATAAATTTATAATATAAAGAATAAGAGCATTTGATGTTTAAAAAAATAAAAAATATTGACATAGTATTCAAAAAAGCCTCTAAACTATTCAAAAAAAATTTAAATAAATTATTATACTTTTTTGTGTAAAATCAAGTCTTCATATTTTTATTTTGAGTCAAAAAAATACTTTTAATCTTGCTTTGAATTAAATAAGTTTTTATGACTAATTATTGACTTATTCAAAATATTATTTATCATTTTATACCTTTGACATATCATAATTGATGATGATATGATATGCTAACTTAACGTGATAATATAATTATGTGATATTTTTTATCTTACACATTAATGCTATATTAGTGTTATATAGATATAAAATGATAAGTGATATTTTAATTGATGATAATTAATCAATTATTAATCATAAGAGCTTATTGAACTCAAAATAAAAATATAGAGATTTGATTGAACGTAATAAAAGAATAAAAACTTATTTAAATTTTTTACTATAGTTTAAGAGCAGTGTGTCAAAAATATTTTATTTTGATATATTAAAAAAGTTGCATAAAGAAAATAATAAATTATAATGAAATAGACCTAAGCAAAATGGAGATTAGGCCCATGAGGTCCCTATTGTCCACCTTTCTTAAAAGGCCATTTGGGCTTTGTAGGCCCAATGTTTAAGGACGCTAATTTTGAGCAAGAAGCGTAGATCAGGGATTCGAGAATAGTCGACCGACGGATCATACTGGTCTCCACCGCCTTAAAATGGTGTTATTTCTAGACAATCCAACCCATCGCATACTATAAATACCCCTTCGAACTCTACCGCTGATGAATGGAGGGCGGGAGAAGAATATATGGACTGAGGAATGAGGCTCTGTTTCTTCATTTCCTTCTCTTTCAACTGTTTTAGGCCTTGGGTCGTCGTCTGTGGGGAAGGCATGGGGAATCTCAATTTCTGCTGCTTTCAGGTAATTGGTAAATTGCTATTTCCCTACAATTTTCAATTACCCAACAAATAAATTGCTATTCCCTTGTAAAAAGCCGGTGAGTATGTCCTCATGGGGCTATGGAGTTTACAGCAAATCTCCTGATGTTGACACCATTTCCTATTTTTGAGCACACCGCACATTGCATCTCACCGCTGCATCTAGGAGGCTTTATTCCATATAAATTATATTTGCGAATAAATTACTCCCATTAGGGCATCTCTCATCACATGGCACACTCATAAGTAGGGGTGAGTACTAATTGTTAGGAATCGAAATAATAGATCAAAACAATTGAATTCCATTAATACGGTTCTCATTTGGGTTTTAATATTAATTGGTTAGGAAGAAATTGGTATATTTGGCTATCTTGGTGGATCGAAAAAGGGATATTAATAATATATTATATATTAGGTTTTATTGGTAAAACTTTATTAAGTCCCAGCGGCTTTTATCTGAATTGATTATTTCAGTGATGTAGCATGTGAAAGTGAGGGCTGAGATTTGATTTGGGTTTTGAACCTCCTCCCAGGAAAGAAACAAGAGACTAGTAGATGCAAACTTTGTGCTGTAAAGTATATTTTTCTGATTTTCTCTATGTAAGAGTATTACATGTATGTTACATCAACATACAATTCAGACCTCCTCATCATAATTGAGGCTCTAGTGGTTGAGGAAGCTGAGAGTAGTAACTCTGGCTTTGATCAAACGTCTAACGAGGCACTCAAGAGCTTCTTCAAAATCTTGAATGCACATTTCTGATTTTTGCAGCTCTTGTTGAGCATTCTCAATATGCATGTAATTGTCAGATTTGCTTATCTTGCGACTGGCAAGGGGAATCAGCGTAGCTTCAGCGTTGGAAATTGCATTTGTATGTAGTTCTTCTTTCTCACACCTCACTCTTTTGGTATTCATTAGCTTTGAAGCTAGTGACCAGCGGCTTGATTTCATCTCTATCTCAGGTCCGTGGATAAAAGACAACAAGGACTCTAGAACACTTCTAGTTGCACCTTGCACTTCTCTAAAGATGCTGAAAGTAGCTCCGATCTCACTGCCTTTGCTAGAGGAAGAAGTATCATGTTTATTTTCCACATGCTTCAAATTCGTTAAGCCCTTTCTGATTGCCTTTTTCACAGCTTTCCTAGAGTTAAAGTATTTTTTAACCTCGATTGTAAGCCCTGTTTCAACTCCTTGTCTTCTACGCAAAATTGATTGAAGTTCTTGTGTGCGCTCCTCTGTTTGAGACAGGGCATCCTTGGCAGTGCTGCACATGTCCAAGAGCCTAAGAGATCCGCCCAACAACTCATCAACATATTTCCTCTGTTGCTCCTTGGCTAAAGCTTGTTGAGTGAGGGGCAATTGAAGCAATCTATCAATGCAGTCATGCAAATCTTGTAGACCATTGAGTTTGTGGCTTAGGGATGAGAATGTAGAGGCAGCTTCAGAAGCCCTCAATTTGCTCAAATTCTCATCAACCTCTGAAGTTAATGGGAGTGATCTAGAGGGCAAGCTGTTGGAACGAACATGGTAACAGGTTTGGATGTTAGAAGGATTGGTTGCCATTATTTCTTCTACAGAGAAAATTTAGCAGTTGTGTTCTCAATTCAATCGAGCAGTCTGCTTTCATCCCTTCTTCATCTGCTCAATATATATTATGGGATGAGAGAGAAATGAAGAATCTCATCCTTTCAAATGGCAATTAGAGGTAACATGGACTTGATACCAATCTTACCAATTATATTAGAGGTGTTCTTGCATTGTCTCCTCTCCACCAGCTTTACAACTCATTTCATAATTGTTTTAATTAGTAAAATCACAATTATGTTGAGCTAAGATAATACTTAATAATATGCGAGCAGTTTTAATATTCTTTCCAGTGCCATAGTGGCCATTTTTTCTTCTGCATTCTGCCATCAGGACTAATTTATTGCTCTGCATAACCCCTTGGAGACATGGTTTCTGCATCACTTGTGTGCTCCCATCTATGAAAGTAATATATCTTGTTATAATTGGTTGATCATGTCGGCATTTTTGTTAGCATGAACACATCTATGCAGTTAATTTGATTAAGTTTATTAAGTTTTGGATAGATAATTACAATAAATATGTGAGTCCCACAATTTTTTGTTGTGCAGGAGGCAGACAAGATTTGCAAGATCATTAGTTAAATCAGCAATTGATATTTTGTGCAACCATAAACAATGGGGTGAAGAAGAACACTGCTTCTGATGTGCTTAATGGCCACATGCTTCTAATTCCTGCTCCTAGCTCAAATTAACATGTGCAAGAAGAAGGTCACGCTATTATTTCTTCTAATTAAAGGGCTAACTGATTAATCAATCAAATGCAAATGGTACAGATAATATTGTCGTGCAAGAGCCAGGCAAGATCCTTATGCTTGGTTTTGCAATCTGTACAACAGCATAGGGCTAACAATATCATGTGCCGATATTTGTATTTGTAAGTGTTCAATTGTTCTCATTAGGACAATTGGAATCTTGAGAGCTTTTATTTTGATAAAATAAAAGGCATAATAGGCTCTTTCCCAAGTAAGTCCAAGAGACTACAATGGAAAATTTGTAATATCCTATCAGATAATTTTCGTGATCTTACTCATGGAGTCACAAGTTCATTGCAATGAAATTGAGGGTTGACTTGAGAGATTTTCAAAGGACAAAAAAGAACCAAAAAGGAAAATGAAAAAGAAGAATATGCAATAGAAGCTAAATTTTCCGAAGTATATTTTTCTATGACATAAGAATAATTACATTTGTATTGCATTTAATGTACAGATGAATTCACATGATATTTGAGGCTAGCTAATGGTTGAGTATGTTGAGAATATTGACTCTTGACTTTGATCAGGCTCCTAAACAGGCCTTCAAGCCCTTCTTCAAAGTCTTGAATGCAAGACTCTGATTTTTGCAGTTCCTTTTGAACATTCTCAATTTGCTTGATGTCAGATTTGCTTGTTGCAAGGGAAAGCAATGAAGCTTCAGCATTTGCCATTTCATTGATCTGCTGTTCTCCTTCACTTCCCACTCTTTTTGTGTGCAATAGCTTTGGGACTAGTGACCAACGGCTTAGCTTTAATTCTTTCCCAAGCCCAAAAGTAAAGGACAGCAAGGATTCTGTCACACTAAGGGTGACAGCTTGCACCTCTCGTAAGATTCTGAACACAGGCTCTGTCTCTGGTGAACAGTGCTTTGTTTATTTTCCTTATATTTCAAATTCTTGAGGGCCTTCAAGATTGCGTTTTTAGCTGCCTTCTTAGAGGTTAAGTATTTTCTAACCTCGTTAGCAAACCCTGTTGTAGCACCTCACTTTCGGCGCAAGATTGATTGAAGTTCTAGTGTGCATTCCTTTACTTGAAACAAGGCATCCTTGGCAGTGGTGCGCACGTCTAAAGGCCTAAGAGATGCATTCAACAGCTCATCAACACATTCCCTCTGCTGCTCTTGGGCTAAGATCTGTAGAGTGAGGAGCAATCGAAGCAGATTATCAATGTAATCATGTAAGTCTTGAAGGGTGCCAATTTTGCAGTTTAAGGCTGATGATGTTGATGCGGATTCAGATGCTGGCAATCTGCTCAAATGCTCATCAACCTCTGAAGTTATTGGGTGTGATCTAGAGAGCAAGCCGTTAGAGCGAGCATGGTAACAGGCTTGGATGTTTGGAGTGGTAGCCATTCTTTCTTCTGGAGGAGTAAACTTAGCAGTCTTGATCTCAATTCAATCTGGCAATTTTCCTTCTTCCCTTCATCTACCCAATATATATATATATATATATATATATGTTATGTGATAAGGGAGACATGAAGAATCTCATCCATTCGAATTGCAGAGAGGTAACGTGGACTTGATATCAATTTGAACAACTATCTCAGGGTGGTTCATGCAATGTCTCCTCTTTATCAGTTTTACAACTCATAACACAATTGTTTTAATTAGAAAACTCCCAATATATCTTGATTCTTGAGATTAGATAAATACTATATAATGGACTATGCACGAGTGGTTTTAAAATTGTTAATAGAGACAATGACAACTTTTTCTAATGTATTCTGTACACTTCTGTCTGTCAGGGCTAATTTATTGTCTGCTAATTGTATAGTTTAATGTGTAACCTCGATCATATGGAGCCAAGGGGTCTGCATCACTCGTGCGCTCCCTCATGTGAAATTATTTTATGTAGTCATAATTGTTTGATCATTTTCATTAGCATGCTCATGTATATGCAATTAACATAATTGATTGTTTTCAAGTTTTTGAATACTTAATTCTGATAAAAAAATGTAAGTCCTGAATTTCTTGTCATGCAGGAGGCAGGCAAGATCTGCAAGCTCAACTTCGACACATCTTGCCACAGTATAGAAAAATGGCTGGAGTTTGATGATTGATGTCTCAGGATTATTCAGCTGTCCGCCTAACAGAAAGACAGCCATCACAATTTTCGTTAATTGAAACGTGTGTATGATTTAAATTTCAGCCTGTTATCTTGCTTCATTCATGCATGCATCCATGTGAATGACATTGGAGTTTTGGCAGAGTGATAATTTATTATTCTTTAACTTGGAGACAAGAGGAATCCTAACAGGTTCAAACTTTTCTAATAGCTTATTTTGTCCACTGTTTTTATGAACTCTAGGAGATTCCTCATCTTGGGAAGAAGAAAGTAAAAACGAAAACCTTAGCCTTAACTCTTTGGTCGGACTAACGAATACGTTTAACTTACTGAGTTACTCAGCTGTCTTAAACGAATGAATTAGGACTTGGTTCCTATCAAAACCTTTTAGCATTCGATCACAAATTATTTTAAATTTTGTTCATATTTTTTCATTATTTAGCAATCTTTTCCTCCAATCCCCTTCATGGGGATTTTTTTGGTTGGTTAAATCTGAACAGAAGGGTTAACTAAATGCTATAGACAGTGAAAATAAGGCATGCAGTGATCAGATAGAGTATGTGCAAAAGAATAAGTAGTTGTGGCATCAAAAAGTATTTCATTTCATTTATATGTAAATTTGATTTCTGTACATGATTGAGGTAATCATAATTTTCTAGGGGGTGAGGATGTTGAGAAGGGAGACTCTAGCTTTTATCATACACCTGAAGAGGCACTCAAGTCCATCTTCAAGATCTTGAATACACAGCTCCAAGTCTTTTAGCTGGTTTTGCATCTCAACATTCATGGTATTCTCAGATTTGCTCATCCTCTGACCGGCAAGGGATTTTAAGGCAGCGTCAACCTTCTCAAATTCATTTGCTTCTCTTGCTGCTCCCTTGCATGCTATTCTTTTGTGATGCAATAATTTAGAAACTAATGACCAACTTCCAGGCTTTGGCCCGGATATCAGAGATAACAAATACTCAAACATGGAAGAAGTGACTGCTTCAACTTCTCTTAGCATGCTAACAATGGCGTTCGTCTCATGATCTTCTGATAGAGAGAAAATTTGTTTTGTTTGCATGCCCTTCAAATTTCCCAATGCCTTGTGGATGGCCTTTTTGACTTGTTTCCTGGAGGTTAAGTAGTTCCCGACCACACTTACAAGCTCAACTTCACCAGTCCTACGCAAAATTGATTGCAGTTCATTTGTGCTTCCTTTTGTCTGCAGCACAACATCCTTAGCAGTGCTGCACAGATCTAGAAGCCGAAGAGAACCATCCAACAACTCATCAACCCATTCATTGTGTTGTTCTTGGGCTAAAGCTTGCTGGGAAAAAGGCTGCTGAAGCAACTTATCAACACAATCATACAAATTCCGGAAGCCATTGAGTTTATGGCTTATTGATGATGAGGCAGATGTAGCATCGGAAGCCCTTAATCTGTTCAAATGCTCATCAATCTGTGAAACAAGTGGGCTTGGTCTAGATAGAAGAGGGAAGCTATTAGAGCGAGTGTGGTGAAAATTTCGGGTAGCCATTTTATCTTCAGATGGAAGAGGCCTAGATTGTTGAATGTTTCTAGCAATTTGCTGTGCAATACCAGGCATCTGCTTCAATATATATATCAGGTCATGGAGACAAAAGGAATCTGAAATGCTTCTTCTATCAGCTAATGGTGACACGATGTATATCTCGATCAAAATGCATTGTGTCAGCAGTGTTGATGCAATGTCTCCCCTTCACCAGCTATCCAGCTCACTATCCGATTATGTTAAAAACATGAATCCTTGGGATTCCTTAGCACACGTTGATACCATCCAAGTTGGTGGTGCACGAGTGCTGTTGACATTGTTTCATGTAATTAAGAAAAAGCAACAATTAATTGTTTGCACGTGTGTATAGGCATACACTATTTGTTTCCATTTGTTGATGAGCTGTTCCCCACCAAAGCTGGGGACTAATGTAGTAAATACATCTTCCTGCTTTTCTTTTGTCACGTGTTTTGTTAGTAATAAAGTGTTTTAATAATAATAATAATAATAATAATAAATAAATAATCTTATTATTAATAATTAAGTTAAATTAAGTATTTTGTACGTGGTGAAATTTTTTCCTATGCAATATAAAACACAATGATTTAAAAGTACCATGATTGATAAAATTACACCAAACATGATAATTTAAAATTGTTTTAGGCAAAATCATTTGGTTTTTTTTTTTAACACGAATTGGGGTACTAATAATGGCTGCCCATCCTCCTCATTCACCCTTTTTGATGCATAGTTATGCTAATCAAAAAGCTGAATTATTAATTAATCAAATGATGGATGGTTTTAAAATTAGTTGCTACATAACTAAACCCTGGACAAGATAAACTTTCTTATCCTTGCTCCCTTTTCATTTAACAGCAGAAAGTTTTATGATTAATACTTAACAGACTATCAAATAAAATAGAAAGAGAGTAAGCATCTCTTCATTGCATAAAGCATGTGAGATTTGCATCTACCATGTGTTAGTAATCAAATTTTTAATGTTTTACAACAGCCCCATTATCTCCAATGGGACAAGAGGAATCCTGCCAGCTCAGAAATCCATTGCAAAATTTCAAATAACCCTGCAAGATACCTAATGTAATAATGGAGGCTCTTAGAATACAACTTGTCAGTGCAGACAGATAGTAGTTGGTAAAATTAAAGGTAAAGTTGGTAGGGTTAATGGTTGAAACAAATGTGAAAGCAAAACTAATCACAACCCATTCTGGAAAGGTCAGTAAATTATTTCAAAGCAAGAAAAATGATTTTGTATTAATAATTGTATACATCTGAAATTACAGTTATGTGCAATTGCAGTGCCAAGATTTTTAACAGTTGAGGATGTTGAGAACAGTGACTCTAGCTTTGATCAAACGCCTAAAGAGGCTTTCAAGTCCTTCTTCAAGATCTTGGATGCACAACTCTGAGTTTCGGAGCTCATTTTGTACATTCTCAACATTCTTCATGTTTTCAGATTTGATGAGGGAACGCAGTCCAGCTTCAGCACTTGCAATTTCATTTGTTTTTTGTTCTTCCTCAAACATCACTTTTTCCTGGTGCATTAACTTGGAAACTAGTGACCAGCGGCTCAACTTTGATCCTGCCTCTGGCCCTGAAATAAACGACAGCAAGGATTCCAGCATGCTGATGGTAACTGCTTGTACTTCTCTTAGAATGCTAATCACAGCTCCATTCTCAGCATCCTTGCTGGAAGTAGAGGAGCTAAGTTTATTTTCCATATGCTTCAAGTTCTTTAAGGCCTTGCAGATTGCCTTTTTCACTGCCTTCCTAGATGTTAAATACTTCCTAACCTCATCCCCAAGCCCCTCAACTCTTCGTCTTCTGCGCAAACTCGATTGAAGTTCTTGAGTGCACTCCTTGGTTTGCAACAAGGCATCCTTGGCAGTGCTGCATACATCCAAGAGCACGAGTGATCCATCCAAAAGTTCTTCAACCCATTTCCGCTGCTGCTCTTGGGCTAGAGCTTGTTGAGTGAGGGGCAGTTGAAGCAACATATCAACATATTCATGCAAATCTTGAAGACCACTTAGATTTTGGCCAATTGACGATGATGTAGAGGCCGATTGAGATGCCCTCAATCGGTTCAGATTCTCATCAATTTGTGAAGTGATGGGGTGTTGCCTTGAAGGCAAGCTGTTAGAGCGAGAATGGTAAGAAGTGGTAGCCATTTTCTTGTTTTAGAGAAAAAAAAAGAAGGCTTTGCAATTGTTTGTTGAGCTCTTTCTAGCTGTTTGCTCTGCCTCAACCCCTTACCATCTGCTGAATATATATCACAGGTTGAGGGGAGACATGAGGAATCTCATTCTCTTTAAATATCAGTTATAAGTAACATGAAACATGATCTGGATCTACACAACTATCTCGAAAATGTTTACGTTGTGTCTCCTCTCCACCATCAAAACAACTCATTACCTTTCAACAAATACAATCAAAACTTATCTTGCATATGATACTAAATTTCTAATACAATAGTAAAATACTAACAACATGGTGGTGCTAAGACAGTCTAGAGGCAATGGCCAAATTCTCCTTTTTTTTTGTCTTCCCTGATGTTAATGAATTGTGGCTTTTAACTTGTCTGCCTGTTACTTGCATTATTATTGAATTTGTTGTGGCAGAGGGAGGCAAGATCCGCATGCTTGACTTCTCCACCTCTTGCCCTGCTATAAAAATATGAGATTCTATAATTTAGCAAGAAAGCATGCACTCAGGCTGCAATTTTTTCTTCCTGTTCTTTGCTTTTTTCTTCTGATGATGGGAAAAAGATAGCAAGAGCTTCTTAATAATTCAACTGTCCCCTAACAGAAATGCAGCAATACAATTTTCCATGGAGCAACACTCGAATGATCTGAATCAACCCTGTGAATGACAATTAATTTTTGCTTAGTGTTTAATCATTTGTTCTGGTTAATTTTAGAGTCAATCGGAATCTTGACATATTCACTAATTGTGGATTCAAATTACAGAAGATAATACAGGGGTTAAAAAAACTTATTACTCAATAGTCAGGAGTTCATTCCGGAGATTTCTCTCTCTTTCTTTTTGTTTTGACTCAATGATCTACTTAACCCTGTCCTCATCTGGCTTAAGACCTCTTAATTGATCAGAAGAAACATCATACAAAATGTCTCATGTTTGAAATTCTGTCCAGATTTTCTTTGCCAAATTGAGGTTTAAAAAGAATGGAGCATAATCCTGACAAATGTTGTATAAAGGAAAAAAAAAAAGGGGCAAATATAAATGCGATTTAAAGGAAACAAGTGTGTCATCAAAATTTTATTTCATTTACATGTATATTTCATTTCTGTACATGATTTTGAAGTTTGCATAATTTTCTAGGGGTTCAGTATGTTGAGAAGAGAGACTCTAGCTTTGATCATACACCTGAAGAGGCATCAACCTTGAAGTCTTTTAGCTGGTTTTGCATCTCAACATTGATGATGTTCTCTGATTTACTCATCTTCTGATTCACGAGTAATCTTAAAGAGGCATCAACCTTTTCAAATTCATTAATATCTCTTCCTGCTTGCGCACATGCTGTTCGTTTGTGGTGCAACACTTTGGAAACTAACCAGCTGCCAGGCTTTGATCGTTCCTTTGGCCCTGAGATCAGGGACAACAAGTACTCAAACGTGGAAGAAGTGACTTGTTCAACCTCCCTTAGCATGCTCACCATGGCCGTGGTCTCATGATCATCTGAAGGAGAGAAAACCCGTTTTGTTTCCAGGACCTTCAAATTTCTCAATGCCTTGTGGATAGTCTTTTGCAAAACTTTCCTGGAGATGAAGAACCTCCGCACCTCACCGACAAGCTCAAAATCACCACTTCGTCTTCTACACAGAACTGATTGAATTTCATGTGCATTTTCTTTTGTTTGCAGCACAAAATCCTTAGCAGTGCTGCACAGGTCCAAGAGCCTAAGATATCCATCCAACAACTCATTAACCCATTCCTTGTTTTGTTCTTGTACTAAAGCTTGGGAAAAGGGCAGCTGGAGCAACTTATCAACACTGTCATACAAATCCTGCAGACCATTTAGTTTATGGCTTATTGATGATGAGGTCGATGTAGCATCAGAAGCCTTTAATCTGTTCAGATGCTCATCAATCTGTGAAACAAGTGGGCTTGGTCTAGTTGGAAGAGGGAAGCTGTTAGAGCGAGTGTGGTGAAAAGTTTGGGCAGCCATTCTCTTCTTGAGGAAAGAGGCCTAATTGTTGAATGCTTCTAGCATTTGCTATGCAGCAGTAGGCATCTGCTACATATTTGAGACAAGGAATCTCAAACGCTTCTTCTATCAGCTAACTTTTGATTCAATTTGGATCTCGATCTAAACACTCTGTCAGCATTGTTTCTGCAATGTCTCCCCTGGACCAGCTCTGCAGCCCACTATCCAATAAAGTTAAAATAAAAAAATCCCGTGGATGTCTATGCACACGTTGATACTATCTAAGTTGGCTATGCACGAGAGCTGTTGACATTGTCTCCTTTAAACAAGAAAAATGCAACAATTAAATGTTTGCTCGTGTGCAAGAACATTCACTATTCATTTCTATCTGGTAGGATAAGGTGTCCCTTGGAAGTTGGGAACTAATATATTCATTAAAATGGTATTTTAATCTTGAGGTCATTTGGAGCCAATAATATCCAATTAGAAATTCAAAATCATATAATTTGATAGTAAAGTTTTTGCCTTTGTACCCTGTTTTTCCCAGAAAATAGTTTCTACCAGCATCACAATGTCAATCTTTGGGAGGCAAAGTACAGACCTTTTGAATTTTTAATTAAAAAAAGAAGGGTATACATGTAAACCCTGCATCCTCCTCATTCACATGTTTACATGGTCCATTCTGCTAATCAAAGTTGAATGATTAGATCAAACATTGAAGGGTTTTAAAGTAATTGCAAAACAAGAGGTGGGCAAGATCCGCTAAGATGATATTGCCTCCCTCTTTAACTAACAAAAATATGTTTTATGAACTGATTGACAATGTTTTAGCATTGAAAGCATGCGAAATTGATGTATACCGCATGATAGTCATTATTTACAACTAGCTTTCAATTATTTCCAAGGAGACAAGAGGAATAGTGACAAGTCAGATACTCAAGATACCAACTATGAAATGCAAGAAAATTTTCTGGGACTCCAAATTTGATAAAGGAGGCTCTGTCATTCAACTTGTAAGTCAACTAGGAAAGTTGTCCTTGCAAAACTAGAGGTAAAACAGCAGGCTTAATGGTTGACACTTGGCACAAGTTATTCAAAATTTAGAAGCAAAATTCAGTTGCAGTTCTGGAAAGATACGTAAATAAATTCATAACAAAAGTAAGATAGGAGAGGAAATTTGTGGGAAAATGGCCATGTAACTTTTGTATTAGCGTAACTGTATACATGTAAGTTTCATTTATGTACAATTGCAATCTCAAGATTAACAGTTCAGGATGTTGAGAACATTGACTCTAGATTTGATCAAACGCCTAAAGAGGCTTTCCAGTCCTTCTTCAAGATCTTGAATGCACAACTCTGATTTTTGGAGCTCATGTTGCACATTTTCAATGTGCTTGATGTTGTCAGATTTGATGAGGGATCGCAATGTGGCTTCAGCATTTGCAATTTCATTTGTTAGTTTTTCTTCTTCCACATGTCCTACTCTTTTTGGGTGCATTAACTTTGAAACTAGTGACCACCGGCTCAACTTTGATTCTGCCTCCGACCCTGAGATAAAGGACAATAAGGATTGTAGCACTCTGACTGTAACTGCTTCCACTTCTCTTAAGATGCTAATCACAGCTGCATTCTCACCATCTTTGTTGAAAGAGGAGGTGTTAAATTTAGTTTCCATTTGCTTCAGATTCTTTAAGGCCTTGCAGATTGCTTTTTTCACTGCCTTCCTAGAGGTTAAGTATTTCCTGACCTCATTTGCAAGCCCCATTTCAGCTCCTCGTCTTCTGCGCAAAATTGAGTGAAGTTCTTGTATGCACTCCTTTGATTGCAACAAAGCATCCTTGGCAGTGCTACATACATCCAAGAACAAAAGAGATCCATCCAACAGGTCTTCCACACATTCCCGGTGCTGCTCTTGGGCTAGAGCCTGTTGAGTGAGGGGCAATTGAAGCAGCATATCAACACATTCATGCAAATCTTGAAGGCCATTTAGTTTATGACCCATTGATGCTGATGCAGAAGCTCCTTCCGATGCCCTCAATCGGCTCAGGTTCTCATCAATTTGTGAAGTAAGGGGGCGTTGCCTTGAGGGCAAGCTGTTAGATCGAGAGTGGTAAGAAGGATGGATATTCAAAGGAGAGGTAGCCATTTTTCTTGTTTTGGAGAATAGAGAAAGCTCTTGCAATTGTGTGTTCAAGTCAGTCTTGCAACTTGCTGTCTTTCCCTCAGTATCTGCTCAATATATATTACAGAGGGGAGACAAGAGGAATCTCCTTCTCTTCAAATATCAATTATAAGTAGCATGAACTTGATTTGGATCTAACTCAATTAACTCTGAAATGTTTATGTTTTGTCTCCTCTCCGCCATCTACACAACTCATTACTTAACTATTTTTAACAATTATAATCCAAAAGTATCTTGAATACGATAATACAATATAATGTGCAATGCACCCTGGTTTTTGTCTATAGGCTACACTCATTTCTCTCTGCTTCATTTTTTTGTTTCCCTTATTAAAATGAAATGGTTCTTTTATCTAGTTAGCCTGCCATGACTACTAATTGCCTCGTTGATGAATTTGTTATGCAAGAGGGAGGCAAGATCTGCATGCTTGACTTCTCCACATCTTGCCATGCTACAGAAATGTAGTTCTTTAATAATTAGCAAGAAAAGCTTGCTCTCATCTGCCTTTTCCATTTTTTTTTTGAATGAAATTGGGAGGGGGCCTAGAAAGCAATGATTCCACTGTCCACTAACAGAAACACAGCTAAGACAATTTTTTAATAGTGCAAAGCGTGTGTGATTTGAACCTGCCATGTCAATGACATTTATGTTTTGATCAAACATCTGAAGAGGCAATCAAGTCTTCCTTCAATATCTTTGTTGAATTAAGACTTGCATTGAAGACCCTGCACGCCATGTCATCTGTCCAGTGCCCTTGCTTCACTGTTTTGGAGTGTGACAGTTGCTTACTGCCATGGTTAAAGTCAGTCATGCACCTAATGCATGTTTTGAATTTATGTGCAAACTCTGATAAGAGTATTGCAGGGTAGAAGTCTACTTTGTTTTAAATTCTTTCCATTGTACAAATACTAATGTTAATGAATGCCAATTCTGGTTGCCTTAGTTATTCCGGTTTTATGCTCTTCTCTGTTCTCTATTCTTCTCCTCATTTATGGCTGCATGCTGACTGTCATTAAGCTGCAGTAGTTAATGTTTACTGATATTGAATGTACAGGTTCACTTAGGCTACAAAACAACAATCTTTAATAAACGAGTTCAATTCTTGTATCCCAATTTGCAAATTCCCAATGTGTGCATTGTTGTCACATTTGCTTGTTTTTTGACCAACAAGGAGTTCCAATGCCACATCCACGTTTGTCACTTCGTTTGTAACTGCTTCTTCTTGTTCACTTGCTACCCTTTTGTGGTGAATTAAGCTTGGAAACCATAGACGACCTGCTCTTTGCCTTTGAATCAAAACCTTGTCCGAGAGATGTAGGACAACAAGGACTCGAACACCCTGATGTTGACCGATTCCACCTCTCTCAAGACGTTTACAATGTCAATGGTAACAGTTTCATCAGCTTTATTCAATGAATAGATGGTGCATTTATTTTCCATGCGCTTCAAATTCTTAAGCCCCGTCCCGACTTCCCTTTTGACTACCTTTCTAGAGTTCAAGGATTTCACAAGTTCACCTCCTCGTTTTCTGGGAATACTTGATTGAAGTTCATGCAAGCATTCTCTCATTTGCAACAATGCATCCTAGGCTTATTGATGATGAAGATGAGGAGGCAGATTCCGATGTCCTCAATCTGCTCAAATGCTCTCCCACCTCTAAAATTTGTGGGTGTGGCCTAGAGGGGAAACTGTTGGAACGAGCGTGGTAACAAGATTAGGAGTTCGAAGGAGCGGAAGTCATTGCTGGTTTCTCTTCGGAAAAATATAATGGTTTGGCAGATTACCTACTTAATTTCTATTGCCTTTTGCTCAGATTATAAGCATCCCTTTGGTGAGGGAAACAAAGGGAATCTCAACCACACGATCGACTTTGATCAGCATCTAAACACTAAAATCGCAGCATTGTTTGGGGGTCTGTCTCCCCATCACCAACTTCCCAACTCGAAACCCAGATTATCTTAGTATAAAATTAAATCAGATGCGATTTGTAGCGCACGAGTGGCCTTGACTTCGTCTCCCCATGGTACCACGCAATCCAGCTTGGCCTGTCTCCCAATAGGAAGCGAGGTCGTTGTGCCACTCGTGGATGCTAATGAATGATTGGAGTATTATTTTTTTCATGTAAAAGATCTGTTTCAGCTTGGCGGAGATATGTTTCATCGGGTGGCCATGGCTTCATCTCCTGTTCCATTTCCTTGGCGTTACCTAGGAGACAACCTTTCCACAACCTGGTATTTATTGTTGTCTGTATGCAATAAATGTCTTTTTTTCTATTGTTTTCACGTGCAATGCAAGAGACAAAATATGCTTTGTCAATTTCCATTAGGCTCTCTTTTTTATCTGTATTTTTATTTGAAACAGAGGAGAACAATGAGTATCCTGGAAAACAGGTTGAGTGCTGCTAGAATTAAAAATCTCAGAAATGAAAATGAAGAATTAAGATTCCTGAACAATATTGATATTGTTAAAGTTGCTGTGTGAAATCTATATCAGCAAAAATTTTACTTTCATATCTTGCAATTCTGTACTAGAATGTACTGATTTGAAGGTTTTCTTCTGACTAGTGATTAAGGATGTTAAGAAGGGACACTCTGGCTTTAATCAGACCCCTGTGCAAGCATTCTAGTTCTTGTTCAAGATCTTCAACGCTCAACTCCAATTTCCCCAAGTCGGTTTGCACATTCTCAATGTGCACGTTACTAGATTTCTTCGTTTTATGACCTAGCAGAATTTGCAATGCAGCATCCCCCTTCTCAAATTCATTGCTTTCCATAGCTTCATCAATGCAGGCTACATGAGTTGAGCGCATCAAATTAGAAACTAAGGCCCAGCTGCTGAGCTTCGATTGTGGCTTCAATCCAGACACGTAGAACAGCAAAGATTGGAGTGTGGTGAGAGTAACTCCTTGAATCTGTCTTGCCATGTTTACCATGGTCATGGTGTCATTGCCTTTTTCCGGAGGAGAGCAGGTCCGTTTAGTCTTCAAATCCTTTAAGACCTTGTGAATCAGTTTCTTTGCCTTCTTCCTGGAGCCCAAGTACTCTCCAACCTCCTTTGCAAGCTCAAATTCATCTGCCCGTCGTCTTCGCAGCATCGATTGAAGATCTTGTACATGTTCTTTGGCCTGTGACAAGACATCCTTAGCAGTGCCACACACATCCAGAAGCAAGAGCAGTCCATCTACCAAATCATCAGCCAACTTTTCATCGCATTCTGGGTAAAAGACTTGCTGTGTCTGTGGCAATAACAAAAACTTATCAAAAGAATCAAGCAGATCTCTTAGGCCGCTGAGTTTGCAGTTGATTTCTGACAATGTCAAAGAGGTAACATTAACAGGCCTTAACCGGCAAAGAAGCGCCTCTATTCGAGGAACTGTGGGTGTGATCGAGAGGGCAAGCTGATAGAACGAACGTGTGAACTAGCCATTGGGTTAAGGGGAGAAGTCTTTTTGTCTCTCCATTCAGCATCTGCACATTATATATCAGGTGAGTTATGAGGAACCTCACCCTCATCAAACATCAAATATTTTCTGGATTTGTGTTTAAACGCTATCTCGGCAATGCCTATGCAATGTCCCCTTGCCAAGTTCCCAACCCAGCTCACCAACCATATATTTTCACCTTTCAGATTTACGTGTATATGATGTACACTAATGGCTTGTCTTCTTATGCAAGAAAAGACAAACTTGGTAAGTACTATTTAATTGTTGTGTGTGACAGATTTGGATGTTGCAGATTAAATTATTCTCTTGGACGAACTACCAAAAGATTATGCAACTTCTCTGGGATATACCTTCCAATGTGACAGGAAAGCTGGCTATAGTTATACAAAAACGGAGGATTCTCACCTACACTTAGCCAATGAAACAATGAGCTGCACCATCTGCCTCAACTTCTATCTTCCCTGTCTAAATACAGAGGTACATGAAAGTGCAAATTTTGTGCAGTCAACATCTGAATCTGATCAAATTTTTATTGAAACATGATTAAAGTGTTTAACCAACGGCAGGCAAGATTCAAATACTCATATTTTCATGTCTTTTGCATCATAGAGGGAAAGGGCGAAAGGTGCCAAAACAAAGTGATCTGAATATATTTGTGTTGTCCCCTTGAAACAAAGCCTGCCACCCCATGTTCTTCATCAAATTTCAGTATCTTATGTTTTGAATTAATTAACCATGTGAACCTCGTTCACATTTTATCAGTGTTCAATGAGACAAACCCCAGAATCTTTTCAGCTGCGATATGGAAATCTCCCATGTGAATTTGGAACTCAAATTTCTGCGGATCTTGTCCTATACCAACTGCACCCTGTTACCTACTTCTGTTCAGCAGGGAGCACGCAGTAGGTCAGGATAAAAACTCCGGAAGAAGATGGTACAATTTAGAGTATTGATTTGGGCAGAGTTAACTGTGAAATTTATTCATATTGCTTGACATTGTTTGCAACCTTTGGCCCACCTATGTGTTACTGTTGTATTGATGAAATCAACATTCAAAAAGGTTTAGGTCCTGGGGACTGAAAATGAAGTGGGAAATTAAGAGGTAGAATAATATCCAAGACAAACAAGATAAGGTCGATAGAAAAAATTGATTTGAACATGGGAAATGAAAGAAAAGTCACAAGTTGAATAAGAGTGAAAGAGACAAGCAGAGTGACTTTCTCAAATGGGGGAATTATCTTCTTTTTGCTGGGTCATGTCTTCATATTTAAACTTAAAACAAACTTGAATAGCTTCTTGTCCTTTTAAAATACTTTGCACATATTATGCAGATATACTTTCTTTGTTTTTGATATTTTAGTTCATACTTATCATTTATATTTTCTCATTAGGATTTTTTTATATAAAACTATTTTGATGAAGAGTTTATGCATAGATCTTATACACTATTAATGAATTATACAATGTTACCTCATTAAATGAGCAAACATAAATTTTAAAAACTCTCAAAAAATTACTATATTACCTTTTCAGAATTTATAGACTGCTCAAATTTAAATTCATAAAATAAAATAATAATGTTTTTAGTCTAATTTACATGAAATGGATTGATAATTTGTCATGGCAAATGAGATGAAAATGTTTGTAGTATTGATTTATGACAAACAGAAGTATAAATGTATTTTCGCATTTACAAAAATTTACAACAAAAGTTTAGTCTCATTTCTGAAACTGCATTCATCGCCCCGCCTCCTTCGGAAAATAGATTGGAGTTCTTGTGCCTGTTCCTTGGTCCTCAACAGGACATATTTCGTGATGCTCCTCACATCTAAGAGCCTAAAAGACCCATCCAGGACCTTATCAAATTGTTTCCCGAGGAATTCTTTAGTTAAGGCTTGCTGAGTTTGTCCCAGCTGAAGGAAGCCATCAACAGAATCATATAAATGTCCAAGGCAACTTAGTCGGTTACATATTGATGAAGATGAGGAACAGGAGGCATCGGTAGCCCTTAACCTACATAGATGCTCCTCCACTTGAGAAATAAACGAATGAGGTCTAGAAGGCAAGCTGGCAGAGCGAGCATGAAAAAGGGATTTTGGGTTTGGAGGTGAAGAAGCCATCTTTGCACTTGATTGAAAGGTGTAAGGCCTCAAAGCACAATTCTTGTGGTTACCAGTAATTTACCTTCTGCCTCTCTGCTTATCTATATATCAGCAAGAGGGAGACATGAGGAATAATTCCATCTGCCACTCTCAATGAGTCCTACCATGATCCTGATTCGGATCTTAACATTTTGTTCGCCGATGTTTGCTCAATGTCTCCACCTATCCAACTCACAGGAACCACTTCACAGGCTGATCTGTTCTCAAACGCCGAAAGCATATAAAAATTATAGGAGCATGATGAGGAACCGATGACAAAACACATTCATTAATGAAATGTTGTATAAAAAAAAGTTGGCACACGAGTGGCACTGAGACCCTGTCTCCTCTCTGGCAATCAAAGGCTATATCATTAATGGAACTTGATAATTTCCAAGAAACTGTAATTATGGATTATATATACAATTTGCCTTTGTTTGATAGTGGTCAGGCCAAAACGAAGCTACGTACCAGGCTGAGAAATGCCTTACCGGAGACCGGGCTGCAGTGCCGCTCGTGCTATCAAATATATTATTCATGAGACAGGGAGACCCCCACGCGGTAGTTTGGGATATGCGCTGTGCCCGTAGCCGTAGGTGATACAAGCCAACCGTGCCGCTCGTGGTAACTTGAAGATTGAAAGTCAGATTGAAGAGAAGTTCATACCCTTTCATGGATGCCCACAGACACAGGGAAAGACTTCGGCAACAACTGCGTGTGGGTAGGAAGGAGGATTAGGGTAAATTTAACAGAAGTCTTGCAATTTGAAATATGAATCAAATACTCTTTAAAGGTATAATATTAAAAAAAATTCAAATTATTCAGTAAATTTGAAGAAAAACTTATTTTTTTTATTTTTATTTTATGTTAAATAAATTTTTATAATTAATTATTATTATTAATTAAAATATTTTTTATCATTCTATATCACATAATATTAACATAAATAGTAAAAAATATAACATGGTCATATTAAATATCATATCAACTTATCACTTATCGTAGTATCATTTATTATAATATTATATTAATATATCATACCATAATTTATTATTACATGTTAGTATGTCACTTAATATTAATTTAAAAGCTTATTTAATTAAAAATAAAAATATAAAAATTTAATTAAAGATAATAAAAGAATAAGTATTTATTTGAATTTTTTAAAAATAATTTAAGTGTTTTTTTGAATATTATATTATTTATAAATCAAAATGAAAAGGGAGAAAAAAATCTCCTAGGTTAAGTTACTAGTGTTATGTCTTATTAATTATAATTCAAAAATCTTGAATCATTCCATTAAGTAGACTCTGATATCACGATAAAATTAACTTTTTATCCAAATATTGAATCTAATTAAATACTCTAAAATTACAAAAAAAAAAATGTAAGAGAAATAGCAGCATGTATATCATGGAAATTTTGAACTGCCTATTGAAGAGTATGTGATATGCCTAAGTTTCTCTGCAAAGAATAAACACCAAATGAAAAATAATGAATAAAATTGCAGATTTTTTCATAAAATTGTAGTATTCATTTATGATCAGATCAAAGAATACATGTAATTTTGAGCCACATAATACAAGGATGTACAACAAAATTGTGGAAAGTTTTTCCAGATGCCATCATCTGTTATCATTCCCTGCGGCTATGATTAATGGCTGAGGATGTTGAGAACAGAAACTCTAGTTTTAATCAGGAGCCTAAGCAGGCACTCCACTCCATCTTCAAGATCTTGAATGCTTGACTCCAATTTCTGCAACTCAACTTGTGCATTCTCGGTGCTCATCTTGTTACATTTTCTAGTCTTGTGACCAATGAGACTGCACAAAACTGCGTCCACCTTCTTAAACTCGTTACTTTCTGTAGCTTCTGCCTCGCATGTTACGCGTTTGGAGTGCATCAACTTGGACACCAGAGACCAGTTGGTAGATTTGGGTTGCATTTTTGTCCCTCTGATATAGGACAGGAGAGGTTCAAACAATGAGAGGGTAACTCCTTCCACCTCTTTCAACATGCTAAATGTAGCTTCAGCATCATTTTCTAAGTAAGCAAAGCTACATTTACTCTTCAAATCCCTCAACGACTTGGTTATTAACTTCTTTGCTTTCTTCCTTGAGGCTAAGTATTCCTTAGCTTCATTTGTGCAACCAGCTTCATCACCTCGTCTCCTTCTCAAGATTGATTGAAGTTCTTGGGCATCTTCTTTGGCCTGCAGTAAAGCATCCTTGGCCACACCGCACACATCCAAGAGCCTGAGAGACCCATTCAACAACTCATTAACCTGTTTATCATTGCGTTGTTGGGCTAAGGATTTTTGTGTGAGAGGCAATTGAAGCAACCTATCAACCAACTCGTACAGACCTCTAAGGCCATTTAGTTTTTTGTGGATCGATGGAGACGATGAAGAGGCGGCTTCATTGGACTTTAGCCTGCATAGATGCTCATCTATTTGAGGAATAAGTGGAGGAGGTCTAGAAGCCAAGCTGTTTGAACGAGCATGAAAATTGGATTTTTGGTTCAAAGGTGAAGAAGCCATCTTTTGTCTTAGATCAAAAGGCTGAAAGGTTTTCAATGTACAATTTGATCAGGCAACGCACCTTGCCCTTCAAGCTGTGACCATATATATATTGGCAATGGGAAGACAGGAGGAATCTCGTCTGGCAACCCCCTAACGTGGTCCTGATCTGGATCTCAACATTTTTGTTGCCAATGTTTGGTCAATGTCCCCCCCAACCCAACTTACCACATAATAATCTCAACAAACTAATCGTTTTTCAATTTCTGAAAGCAAATTTGATGATAGAAAATTGATGAGCTACCACATTTTTTTTTTATGGAAATGATGCTCAATTATTGTGCACGAGTGGTACTGAGGCCCTGTCCCCTCTCAGGCAATAAACAATCATCTTCCTGTCCAATCCATTCTGTGTAGTTGTGCACATTTACTAAATTTCCAAGAAAGTGTAATTCCAGATCATGATTATGCAAAAATGGATCCTATATATCAGGCTGAGATATGCCTTATGGGGGGGACAAGATTCCAGAGCCTCTCGTGCTAAATTTTGAATAATTTGTAATGAAAAATCAACTACAAGAAAGTACAGGTTGCAGACAAGAGAAAAATAAGACCACATTGGATGTAAGCTGGTAGGAGAGGCAGGGCAGCAATGCCCCTCGTGCCAACTTCAAATCTGAAATTCAGAGGGAAAAAAACAATGATGAAACCTCACCGACTTGGCCACATTACTCAAAAACGTTTGTAAACAAATGTTTCTTAGCATAGACATTGAAGCAAAGAATGGCATTTAAGGCCTTGTCTCCTATCTTAGTCCTGAAACACAATGACTCAGAAGATTGGTGGAAACTTATGTTGAAAAACTGCAGATATCAAGGTAAGTAGATAATCAACAAGGGCGGGAAGGCAAGGTGGAGTCACCGGACACATTTTGGAAAAGTAACGGTTGACATAATCCATTTTCCATTTTTGTTGTCAAAAGAAAGAAAGCATCACTAAAATTACACCTTAGCTCCAACATCCTGCAATGGCTGTCAAGGCTAAAATGTATCAGTTGGAGTTATTTTATTGACAGTGATGCAGGGTATCCATCGACACCAGACATGATAAATTCCATCAAATTATTAAGGGACAAAAATGTTAGAACACCAAACTGAAAAACTTAGAAATTGGCTTCAAGGCGTGTATCAATGACACTGTCCTTAAGGTTTTATTCGCCCTGACTTGTAGTGTGCAAAAAAGTTACCGGCATATAAACCTCGAAGATACAATAAAGTCCAGTGATTGATGGCGCTTTGCACTGACGAAATCAATCCACTGAACACTCACCGAAGTATAACAAGATTATCAAACTTCTATAATATTTTTTCTGCAGGAAAATAGTATAGAAAAAAACTTGAAAGATATTTGAGGAAGAAGAAAGAGAGATATTACTGTTTTTTCTGATTTTCATTGTCTAAGGAGGGTCATCTTTTATAGGCATAGATGTCTGTTCTCAACAAACACTATTTGTATCTGTTTCAAAGAGTTACTCTTATTGGTCTTTTCCAACAGACGTGACTCTTTTCTTATTTTATAATGTTTATTGATTTAATTTTCAACAGACACAACTTTTCTTTTAATTTATGAAATCATATTTTTATTTGAAAATGTCCAACAAAAAATGGTATCCTCAGGGCATTGAAGAGTTATTCGCCTATGTTGCCATTCACTGGTTCCTCATGTTTCTTTACATGAACTTATTAGTTCAAATTAAGGAGACAAACCAGACAAGAGACGGTGTTTCTAATATTGTTAAGATTATACTTATTAGCAAAACTGTCTTGGACCCTTATTAAGGGGGAGTCTTGACTTTCTCTCTGCAAGATTAGTTGCTTCTATAAGAGAAACTGAGAATCGCTTCAGGAACCCCATCATGCTGAAATGGTTGACCCTCCTTATTCAGTTAAAGCATATATTTGCAAACATGAAAGACAGGTATTCCATTAGAAAATACACATTCTTTTCCTTCTCATACATTTTTCAATTTTGAAATTCAATTTCAAGCTCAGATTTTTTACACAAACTTTGGGCAGCCTCAACAAGAATGGGGTACTGGTGTGTAGAATCAATACAAGACTTTGTTCTCATGATCCCTTGGCACCTCGTTGCCTCTTTTCTTCAAGTCCAGTAGCTTCATTCAACATGTCTGCGGCATCCTTGTGCATGTCTAGTTTGGCAAGGGCAACTGACTGCATGTAGAAAGCGGTAGGCCACTCAGGATTCACAATTTGTGCCTGCATTGCATCTGCAAGGGCAGCATCTGGCTGATCACAGAAGAGATAGCAAAGACTGCGCCGAGCAAAAACAGTCGGGGAGACCATGGTTCCTACACCTATGAACTGCGTAGGGAAAAAATGATAAACATAAGGCATCCATCCAAACTCAACATGGCTTAATAAGTCTAGTTTAAACATTTGTCTCGGTATAGCATGAGTACAATTTATCTGGATGCTCAAGTGGTCAACTTAAAGCACATAACCTCAAGTATATGAAGGTCATTTTGATCAAGAATAGCTGCTTGATACTATGAAAAACTGATCTATGGTAAACATATTTAAATTTCCAAAAAGAGAGAGTTCAGTGTACGAGCCCCTTCCAAGATAAGGAAAGGACAGATGAAAGGGAAACCAACAAGCAGAAAATTCCATTAATACAAACTCAATTATTCCATACAACTATTGAAATGTGAAAACAACAAATTATCAGAATAGCATCATTGACAAATTCTTGACCAAAGAACATAAGCTTCTTGACAAGTTCAAGTTCAAGTCTTAGAGGTAAACCTGAGAATAACAGTCAATGGCGGTTTTAAAATCTTTATCACGGAATGCATAGTCTCCTCGCTTCCTAGCCTCAAGCATATCTCTCATCTGCTGGGTCCACTCTTGGAAAGATAACTGAAACAATCCACAATTATACAGCCTTCTTAGCAACAGATTAAAGAAAAAGAACTGCAGGACTCACTCAAACAAATCATTCACCTCATTTGTCCCTTCATCATCCTTGTAGTGATTCATCACCAATATCTGATGAATTGCTGTGAGGTCGAGTCGTGAACAGGCCTCACCCATTGGTGAAAGTGGACGTTGTGGAGTTGCAGGAGCTTCCTCATATTTTGAGATTCCAAGCATGACATAAGATGGAACCTGCAAAACAAGAGATATAACAATCAGGATCTAAAAATTAAGCATGCTCCTCTGATCTTCACAACCACAGCCACCAGGTTATAAATTTATTTGACTCCATATCACTTTTAGCTTTGAACAGTTCTAGGTAACGGTAGAAAAGGTGAAGCATGTAAAGAAGCATTGATGCAGAAGACATTAAGTATCTGGGACGACTCAGATTCAATACTCATCAGTATCTTCATCAGATCGAGGCCCATTCAGTGATTTTAATTACAATATAGAACGTATATGTGAAAAGCTTTCAACTGTTAACTGAAAGGGAACAAACATGACTTCCAGGTCCTAAATGTTTAGCTCACCAATAAAGCAAGAATAGATTATTATGAAATTTAATAGGTCAACAGCAGCAAAGTTCCATACATCAGGTTTGGTGTGCAATGGAGCAAGTGTTGCAACAAGGTCCTTCGTACTAGGCCGCTCCCTGGGTTCATATTGCAAACATTGAGAAGCAAGGCCTACAACCACTGTTGCCTCCTCTGTAGAAAATTTTCCCTCTAAATGTGAGTCCATGAGGAGAATGATGTTTTTGCCCCGTATCATATCAAGTGCCTGAAACATGCATAGCCATCAAAATAAAACAAAGTTTGTATCTATTGAGATCAATACTGTCTTATTGTACAAGAAATAAAGACATCAGACAAGCAGCTGTTGAAGAATAGTAAACTCTGGTAATACAAGGTTTTAAAATTAATCAGAACAAAGTGAATTGCACTATAGCATTTAAACCTCATGAACTCACAATTGAATAACAAGTTCTCATTGAAAAGCATTGCAAGAGCCCATAAGATAACTGATTCTGGTTTGCAGAGTTTGAAAATGAACGAAAACCTATACAATACTACATATGCAACCATGTAGTAAGCCACTTAAATCCACTTACATGACTAGGAGGAATGTGCTTCCCACTTAGCAAATCAAGAAGAACAGTGCCAAAGCTGTATATAACGCTTTGGGGGGTGACTCTCCCTACAAAATACAAAATTGTGGAAATGATAATAAGCATAAGTTCAAGAAAATTCACTGAGAATAATCGTGCAATTTGAAAAGAGAAAACAGATCTCCCACGTCACATAGCAGTACAAAAGAGCTCAGCACAATGCAAAGACAGATAAACAGCCAATCATATATCAGGAAATGATTTTCTACACAATTTAGGAAAAGATCAGAACAATTCAACTTATCTATGTAAACACCAAACAATAACCAACATACCATTAACACCAGAAACAATATTTATAAAAGACTGGCTTCCCAGTTCCCTGTACGCATGCTTTATGAAAAATGCCAACCAAGTTTTAGCCAGAGAAGGTGAGAAAAAACAAAGATCTCTAGAACTTGCAATAGTAACAGTACAACAGGAAGTCTGCTAAATATGGTAGCCTAACATCATTCCTATTAGTTTACTCAACTGCATTGAAGAACATCAGAATGAAACACAAAGGAAGGGAAGTCTTTTCTGGGAAAACATGCAAGAAATTGAAGCAAACCAATGGATTTATTACAAACCAAGTATGTAGAGTAACAATAATAAGGATCAAAATAAATTCCAGACATGAGTAACAGGTAAATCCCTTTACATTTGGACAAGAAAAAGAAAGAATAAGTATTCATGACACTAAAAACTAACCACCAGAAATAAATAAGCAATTACCATTTCTTAGATACTCAGGAGGAGTGTAGGCAAGATTAGTGCTATAACTTTTCCCATCCCTGCTATTTTTCATCAGGCCAAAACATGAAAGACGTGGATCACCATCCTACAAAATCCAGTAGAAAGCCATCAATCCCTAAGTGAGAGGTAATGCTAGAGAAAGAGATGAAAAAAAATATCTATGCATGATAAGCAACCTTAAATTCCAGAGAGCAATACCTCATCAAAAATAACCCTGTAAGCATTTAAATCATGGTATAATGGACGGCCCTCGCTACTACAATAATCTAAAGCTTCAGCAATGCAGGAAGCTACCCTTAAGCGCATTGCCCACTCGATGGTTTGATTTTCCCCTGCATCATAAGACCAAAGACCCAGATTTAGTCTGAGGGAAACAGAAATGTCCAGATATATTCTCAACCTAAAAGCATTTAAGTAACAAAAGAAAACAACCAAAGAATATTCTCGCGTGCATCAATCTTACTAAGAAAAAACTATCTGTAATCTATCCTATAAGTTCGGTACAGATTACACTACGACACGAGCAATTAAACAAGAATAAATGGAATGGAAATAAAGGCTAAGCCAGAGTTACATAAGGCAGGTTATTGGCAACAATTAGCAAGACCTAAGAAATCAAGCCTGATAAAACTACTTAAAATATGAGCAAAAATTAAAAAATTGAATAAAAACAGAAACAATGGAGAAAAGAATTGTTCAAGTTAAGAGAGAATGAGAACTGACAGTGAAACAAATGCTTAGCAAGAGTATCATTAATCATGTACTCAGCAACAAGCAGCCTTTCATCTCCATCACAGCAATACCCAATCAAATTTGCCAGCCTCCTGTGCCTCAACTTCCCTACTCCCCATGCTTCCTCCTAACCAAAAAACAAAATCCACAAAAAACCAACTTCAAATATCTCATCAAAAACCCCACAAAGAAAACCAAAGAAAAAAAACAGTATAATACCGCAAATTGTTTGGGGTCAGGCCAAGCCATCTTAGTAAACTTCTTAACAGCGATCCATTTCCTGTTCTGTAAACGACCTTTATAAACAAGGTTAGGAGCTTTTTCCCCACTTTCAGAAACTATGTTATCTGAACTAAAATTGTTGGTGGCTGCTTTGAGGTCAGCCAAAGAGAACTCTGAGAAAGAAGGGACTCCATTAGCAGCAGCCGGGTCGAGTCCAGCACCTGAACCTGATTGGTTATGGTTCCGGGGCTCCTGTTGTTGCTGAGTCTGGTCTTTTTCTGGGTGGGTCTCTGTTAGAAAAGATGATTCACAACAACCCATAATTCAGTTTTTTGTTTTCTCTTTCCTTTGTTTCCAGTTTGATTGAAGTTTCCCTTTACTTTTCAGAACAGAATCATGGGACAAAGAAAGAGACGGGGTTTTTGGTTTTGACAACAAAAAAAAAAAAATTTGGGTTTACGATTTTGAGAGAGTTTCTTTCTTGTCGTCTATATCTTCCTTATTACTACTTAGTTTCCTTGCTTTGTTGGGCTGAGTTTGGTTTTTGTTTCAGCTTTATTCTTGTCTCTGCGGGGGCTGCTGCTACGCTCGCTTTCCACTGTTCTAATCTGTTGTTGCGGTAATAAAGGGGTTCATCATTTCCAACTTTAAAACAGTGATATTTATAGTAGTAGTTGTAGTTAGCGCTTCACTTGTTCCCCTGCCTCCCGAGGAAAATTACTCTGCTGCTTCTGCAGTTAAATCTTAAACAAAAATTAACTTAAGTTGATGCTGAATGGTAGGCACGATTCAATGTGTTAAAGCCCATTACTTGGAAAAGTTCATTGAACCCAAAACTCCAAGAAGTAAACAAAAGGATGAGGTTCAGCAGGTGTCAACAAATTAGTCCTTTTTTACAGCTAAACTTGACCCATCATCTTGATTTAAATCAAGAATTCTTATTAAACCTTATATCATGAAAGTGCCTTTACAACTATGTTAGATTCCCCCAAATTTAAGGTCACTAAAAATAGAATAAACTGACCCCATTGTGTTTGAAAATTTACAGATTTCAGGATTGTAGTTGGACTGTTTTTTTGTTGTACAAGACAGAAGAAAATCTTGTAGGTACTTTCTATGTCCTGTATCATCAAGATTTCCTTCTCCTCAATTTGTTTTCTAGATACTTAAACGTGTCATTATGTGGTTAAAATTGGCTTTAATGAGAATCAATCAACAGATTAAGCATAAACACTGATGGAAAAAGCATATATTCTCCACCAATAGCTGGCCTAATTTCTTTGTTCCAGCCAAACTGATGATGGTAGAGCATGGCAACTCCTTCAAGCAAAGAAAAAGAAAAAATTTCTTTCTTTTTTGGGTTTTTTGGTTCCAGCTGGGTGAAAGACTAGCAAAATAGTTTGAAACCACAATCCCATTCATGGTTAGGCATGGGAGATGTAACCATCTTTGAGATCTCAGAGATTACAAGGTTTGTCCATTTATGGGGCCACCATGCCCTTCTTTCAGTTTCTTCTAGACCAACCAGGCGGCCAAATTGGGATTAAACAATAACCAGCATATTTGTCAGAGAAATATAGTAGTTCTATTAAAACCCAAAGTCAAGAACTTCACAAAAATAATTACAACGACAATTCATACAGATCTGTCAAAGGCAAGGACCAAAGACGAAAGTGCTCCAATGTGCTAAGACCAAATTTGCTTATGACATTTGGAAATATAAAATATGATATTGAGATGGGTATTGGTTGTTTTGCTGCTTCATTTTCGCTGGGTAGTGAGTGGGGTATGATTGTAAAGGACTCATACCTTCAATTCTTGATTTTTTAAAAATGATGTACTCTTACATTTTTTCATAAATATAAAGATTCCATCTAATACTTATTTTTTTCTTTTAACACGTATTGTTTGTATATTTTTATATATTTATAAATATTTTAAAAAATTTTTATTTGTTCAAGTGAGATTGACGTATTTTGTTTATTTTTTCTTAGCACAAGTGTTTAGAATTGATTGAATTTAGCTTAAATTTGTTCTGAAATCATTTTTTTAAGAAATCATTATTTTTATTTTTAAAAAACTAACTTAACGAGATATACGGCGTTCACACTTATAAATCTTTTAAAATTGAAATTACATCTCATCTTCTTCTTTAAGTGTTTGACACGACACTAACATCATATGAATTAATAATTTTAACTTAAAGCTTTTACTAAAATGAAAACTGTTAAAGCTCTTTGGCTTCGGGGTCAACAGCACCAGCTTTCTAATTATAAAGAATGAAGGTGGGTTCAATATTGTATGCTTTTAAGTTGGACTATCAGAAAGAATGGGGCAGGGTAGAATCAGTTAGGGGTAATGGTATTCTTCCTCGTACTATAAAAATAGAACTAATAAGTTGTAATAAAAAAAGAAAGGGAATGGCACAAAATTACAAAGTTAATTGATTTAGTGACCACCATAAGATTCTATAAAGGTTAAATCCAAGTTTTTGATAGATAGAAATTGATGTTTCAAGTATATTTTTTGGCAGTTTCAAGAATGATCCTCTCCTTGAAATTGTCGAAGAAATACCAAGTGAGATGATCCTAATCTTTGGGTACATGTATTCTTTAAACAAGAAAAACAGAAGATGAAAGTAATGTTGCATTCGGGGTTAGATCATTTTCTTTCTGGGTGGAATCTTTTGGGTAATCTTCTTGGATTTTTCTTCTTTTTTTTTTTTTTCTGCATTAATCATGGCAATAACAGTTGTTCAGCTACAGCCACATAGGCATATTTTTCAGTTGCCAGAGAAAAATACTAGCAAACGTTGAATCTGTACTCTCTCAGATGCTGTACTTTGTCAAGTTGGGTACAATTATTTTCCAAAGCTTTTGCATCAGAGTGTAGTATCACATCAGCCAGATCATGATCATTCCTCGGATCTTCTACTGCATTATTCAACATTTCACGGGACTACATTCATCAATGACAACCCAGGAAAAATAACAGTTTCGGGATGTTACTGGTAACTGGTAAGAGTTACTGATACACGGTAGGTAGGATGTGCAATTGAGGCCAAAATCATTAGTGCAAAATTAATTTGGCTCGTCATAAAACCATCCTTTATTGATGTTTGCTTTGAATTAGCAATGGTTTCGAAGCTGTCTTCTGTACAAAAATTGATGTAATTTGATTCAAAATGGAAAAGAAATTTCATTATATAGTACACAACGTTTGATTTGTGGGCATTCCCGTCACTTGCATCACTCTAAAATGCTCACAAACCGAAATCTAAAACTCTGAAATCATGCAAAACTGATGGAGAATCTGCTTACTCCAATGGTTTTGGCCGCATTGGGTGGTTTCGTTCGCAGAAGCATGCCAGATTTTGGCTGGTGCATGGTGCCAACTATTTGACAGAAAACAATTGAGTTTCGCTTAGAAAGAGATTTTAGACACCATGAATAGTTTGTTCCCACCCCCAAGAGCAAATGCAAAATCAACGTCTCTGGCACTTGGCAAGCTTGACAGTTGAAAGGCTTCGCAATTCGCAATACCCAGCAAATTGCCCCTCCTGATCTCCACTGATGCATCATAGCCCATCTGGAAATATTCTTGTCACAGGCAGATGATGAGTTATCGCCTCAAACATTAACCATGCTTAAGGCCTGCTTGCATCTTATTCTCCCCATCATCCGACTTGTAACCAAGTCTTCCCTAACAGACACAACCAGCCAAGTTGTACGTTACAACACCCGTCTAACCCACCACTTAGTTTCATTTATCACAGGGCAATAGACTGCATACTGTAAACTAGATCATCAATGCAAAGGGGATCCTGTAATTTCATCACACTTTACGGCCCTATGAAACTCTCTCATGCTCTTGAGCAATCCTTTCTTTACCACGTTGCAAAAGCTCCTCGTAGGCTTTCAAGGACTCAGCAGTGAACTTTTCCATCGCCTCAAAAATGCGTTCCAAGCTCCCCTGCAAACTACTGTTACTAGTCTCACTCGGATACACAACATGTCCAGCTACCAAGAGACTACTACCATCTCCAGAGACCAAAACAATTTTCTTATCCAATGCTTGGATCTCTTTCTGTAACTTTTGATCCTCTCTATCCAAAATCCTTACCCTTCTCTCCAAATCTTTATTGGCCATCATTCTCCGATGCATTTCAGACTTATCTTGTTCCCATAGCTGGAGCACACTCATGGCGAAAATGCGCATAGAGTCGACCACCTCCCTTTCAGATATCCTATCTATCGCTTGTGACCACTGATTACATATTACAAATATGGGGGGTGCACCTACTCTACTGGGTGAGAAGGGAGCTATTCCATCATCTGTCATTTCAGGCTCATAGTAAAGACATTTCAGAAGCCAATTATTCAAAGCCCTGACATAACCCTTCTGGGCACCTATCCAACTAGAAAATCTTATAGTCCAACTAATAAGTTCATGCTCAAGCTGCAATGTGGCTTTAAGATGATCATCACTCAGCTTTTTTCCAGATCCAATGGAACCTAAATTTTTGGCTTCTCTAATGACCTGACACTGACTACGATGGCAGTCAAGCATACATTTCCACATTCTGCTTAACCTGGGGAAAAAAGAATACAAGGAAACCACATAAAACAAATGTAGAAAGGATAACTGCAAGTGATTATTAAAGGGGGTTTAGGAATGACCAAAAACTTGCAAATTCAGTACAATCAATGAAATGAGAACCATGAAAAATGACAAAATATCAAAGTAACAAAAGCAAATAAAAAGCATGCAAGATATTCAATTGAGAAGTAATTGACATCAGTATCTAACGAAATCATACACTTCTTTCAGCCAATCAAGGTCCGCTTTACTTCTTAGGGCTTTAAATGCTACACATTAACAACTTATAACCAATATTTATTATAATGTCCTTCAACAGCAATTTATTGGCATATAGCCAATATCGTCATTATCCATTCCAACAGAAAACTTCCCAGATTATACTTGTGAACTAGATCTCATAGAAGTGCATTTTTCTCATGTAAATGGTGCTAATGGATCTACACATGATGTGAAACATTAGTAAGTCTCACATACCTATTTTTATGATAAGGAAGGCGCATTTGAAATACAAAGATGACAAGTCGCTTTCAAACTCACTCTCTGGTATATACGATTATAAATCAAATACATAGCCATTTGAGTCTTTTTTTATTTAATATACTGACTACAGTTAATCGCACTAAGTACATAACAGACCAAATCAAATGCACTTTCTCAAATCATCGATCCCAAGCACAGCAACAAGGGACTTCTTTTAAGCATATTATTACTCAATGTACATTTAACTAGCTCAACTATTTGTCTTCTACTTCAGGCAAAAAAGACACAGCAAAATGAGGCAATTTGAAGACTTAATTATATTCAATTGCTATTATGTATTTTTGGCTCAATAAAGCTTATGGCGCAAGCTTTTCAGAACTTCCAATCCTTCATTGGCATCCACTCGTATCACTCTTGACCGTACACTGTTCCAAGCTACAATGCACATCTATATAATAACCAGCAGGACGAGATTCCTATAAAAAAAAATAACTAATAAAAATGCCGAAGCAATGCCATTATGCAACCAATAAAGACTGCTACAAAACTCTGATTAAAGATGCTCATCAAAGAAATCAATTCAACACAATCTACTGGCAAGGCCAAAGGTAAGAAAAATGATGTCAGCTAAAAGCAAAATACTCATTTAAGAAGTTCAGACTAAAGAGCAATTAAGCAGAGAATGCAGAATGAGATAGGAAAATGCAAAGAGTTAAACAAGCAGAAACAGTACCCTTCAATCAGTTCATTGAGCAGCGGCCATAGTTCCTCATCCCTGATCTTATTAATTGTAACAGATATCTTGTCAACAACTTGAAATGCAATTCTTATCTTTGTGGACAGGCCCCTAATTACATTCCGGGTTGAATCAACTTTGTTAGCTTCAGCACCCCTATCATCTAGTCGCTTCAACTTGCGGCATTTCCCATCGTAAGTTACTCGCATCTTCTCCTCGGCCTGCACAATATTGGAATCTACTTAAACATCCGAAAGGTTGTGAAACTACTAAAAGAAAATGCCCAAGTGCTTTTAATCCAGGACATAACTATACCATTGTAATTCCTCCAGAAAACCAAGTCAACCACAAGGTATTCCTAAGAGGGTGCAGAAAGCAACATAATTTAAAATACAAACTACTATTATGTTATCCATGAAAGAGCATAAAATGCAACAACATGAAACCCTTCAAAGGAAAATATCTCAGAACACTCATAGAAACAGTTCCTTAAAGAGATATAATCCAAATTAAAATAAAACATAGGTAGGTAATAATTATAGATAATCAAACAGACTGTTAACACTATATACTGATGAGAAGGAACCAAATGTAAAACCAAGACTAATAGCCAAAAATCAAGTGTTCATGCATCATTCTGAGATAATCATGAATCTCAAAATTTTAAAGAGCAAATGCGTACAGGATTGGGCAGAAACAGGTACCAAGTTCAACAACAGGCAATACAGCATGAAGACACAATATACCTTCACTTCATTGTAGAGCTTCTTTTCCCAAAGATACAACTTCTGCAAAGTAGAGGAAAGGCTTTTGGGTTTCCTAGCCAATTCTTCCTTAAAGTCTAGAAAAGCTGGGTCAGTGTTGTCAGCCGAAGATGAAGACTCAGCAGTCGTAGAAGTAGATGGCTGAGATGATACTACGGATAATGAAGGAGTAACTACATGCAACATCTTGGAAACTGTTTGCCAAAGATCCCAAAAACCCACTGTTAGTATTACAGTTCGAGAAAACCAAATCTAATCAATCTACAAAGCAAAAATCCATATTTATAGCAAAAATCAGTGCTTTCCAATCCACGGAAGATGTATATTCACAAAATTCTTATAGATCAAGCTAAAGGAAATCAATAACACCACAATCCTGTGAAAAAAGAATGAAAATCCTTACCATGTTTGCGCTGATAAGGAAGCGTTCCCACCTCAAGCAACTTGGCAACTTCACTCCCTGACTCGGAAGCTCTCACAAACTGAATCTGTATCTCTCTAACCACCTCAAAAACATCCCTTGGAGCGCCTCGCGCCCCGTTACCACGCTCCTCAGGCCTCTCATCATCCACAACTTTCTTCTCCACCACATGAACCTCATATTCCACCCCATCATTTTCCATCCCAACACTCGGCCTGGTCTGATAGAGCGACGTCTCTGCTTCACTAGTAACAACTTTCCCATCCTTATCTTCAACTGGGGACTTCGAATATCCTCCGCTATCAACAAATTTCTGATCCCCGTGCACTTCTTTAACCACTTCATGTTGATAATCCTCATCTTCCAAATCAGGGATCCCTTCCTCTTCTCTCACCTCCCTCGAATCCCTACTCGGCGTATATGGACGATATAAGTTCTCAAAACTCTCGAAAGGGTTCAAGAAATCCCAAGCTGAAGCTCTCGGAGGTGATGGTGGAGGCGGCGGCGGTTTCGAGGATGACCCCGCCGCCGTCGATGACGGTTGCAGTGAAGACTCATAACCAGGCGCCGAGTAAGAAGAATAATTATTAAAACCATCGTAATTTTGGTAACCCGTATAAGGGTATGAACTAGAACTAGGATTATTATTACTAGCATAAGAGCTAGGAAAATAAGAAGATGAAGATTCGCCCATATAAACTGTGTCTGGATTCATAGGCCTTTGTTCATAAACGATAGACGGCGTTGGTTGCTTCTTCATAAAATTCATATGCATAAATCCACCTTGAAAAGATCCAGTTTCAAGAGCTTCGTAATTGGGATAATTTGGGTCTATATAGTCTATATGACCACCCCCAGCTTCGTGCAACGGAGAAGAATGATCTGAATGGTGCAAAGACCCGCCAGAGTCATCTTCGTCTGAATCTGACTGGAAGTGAAGATGAGACCCAGAATTCGAATGGGCATGGTGGTGAGAAATAGCACCTTTTTTGGGTGAACTTGACCCGACTTCAACTGGATCCACCGCTTTGCTTTTGAGTTTATTAGGCGACGGAGGAGAAGGAGGCAACGCCCCTGAAGAAGCTCCAAAATCATGCTCGACGAAAGCATTTAAAGACTGACCAAATAACTTCAAAGAAGCTGTGTAAGCTACGTGAGCTTCAGCTAAAGCAAAACGTTGCTGAATCGCTTCATCTAGAAAGGTACATCTTTCCCGACAAAGAGCAACTGCCGGAAGATCATCCAACTTAGAACTAGAACATCCCATAAACTTCCACCCACAAAAAAAAAAAAAAAAGACCCAACAAGGTTTAGTATCTGATTTAGCTGAAGAAAACAAAAAACATGATTATAGTGATTGTTTCTCAGGAAAACTTTAGGTTTGCAGCAAGAAAGAAGAGGAAAGCAAAGCAAAGGAAGACAAAGAGGGAATCTTTGCCAGCGCGGAGTGTGTCGTCGGGTTGTAGCAGAAAGAGAAAGTAGAAAGAAAGAGAGAGAAACTCTTCTCAACAGCGCTTGCCTTGTGCGTCGGTGTACGCTGCTGGAGCGTATTAGTGATTTAAAAATTAAAATAAAAAAAAAATTTCTCTTTCTTCCACCATTTTCACCTTTTAACATCAGACACAATTTCTTTTCTTTTTTATTATTTTTATACTTTTTAAATTGTGGGTTTCGTTAGTTAGCACACCATAATCATAAAAAAATAAAAATTGTTTCGTATTCTGAGAAAAAAAAATAGAAAATTTATTGCTTTTTCTGTTTTGAGTATTCAGGGCTTGGACCGGTGTTAAAAACAGAAACAGGGTCAGACGTGGAAGAGGTCTTTGTTTTGACGGCCACTTTGACGCCCGCAGCCGCCTAGAAAAATCATGACGTTATTTTCCCCCAATCTTTTTATCACTTCCAATCTTCCATAAATACCCTTTTAATTCAATTTTTTTACTTAAAAACAATTTAAAAAAAAAAGTAAAACATTATGAGTTAAAACGTTTGAAAATAAGTAAATAAGACGATTTAATCCTATTGCAGACAATTAGAGAATATCAAAAAACTCATAATACTATGATTCCTTCAAAATTTTTTAAAAAATAAATTAAATTATTTTAATCTTATATCGAGCAAATACAAGATCTTGTAATGCATATAAATGTAATTACTACATACTATATCAAGTTAGTTTTTTTAAAAAGAGAAAATGACTCGTAACATTATACATTTTATTAAATTAATTTCTTAAAACAAACAGTAATGATCAAAAATAGTTTTTGTATTTTTTTTTTGCTTGGAAATTCAACAAAACCTTGTTATTTGCAAGTGGTTTTTGAAATCTAAAAGTAGTTCAAAAGTATCCCAATTTACTAAAGAAACCATACTCAATTTAAATCCTTCTAGCAAAGGCAATCTTGATTTAGAATAGAGAATTGACAAAATGGGGACATGGATTAGGTTGAAGAGTGGGTTTGGGTGGAATGAGAATTATCTCATATTTCCAATCTGCAATGACATTCTGTTATGGTGGATGGGTCACAGCACTTGTGGGGAAGGGTCAACAAAATTTCTATCTCTATTTTTTTTATCAGTAAACGAAATTGCACTTTTTTTATATAATAATTTATTCAGCTTTGGTGGGCTTCAGACCCCCCACTCAGTATATATTCCACCCCATTTCTTAAAAAGGTTTTATTTCTGTTAAATCAGATTCAAATAGGACCAAAACCCCAACAAAATTCCTAAACATTGGTTCAATTATTATTATTTTTTATTTATTTTTTGGGCTTTAAACTGAGGGATTTTTTCTGGTGAAAGATGAGAGCAGTCATCCCCATGAAGGGAACAGTTTGGTAGCTTTTACTCAAGTTAGATTCTCATTGTTTATCCTTGTAGTGTACAAAGGAGAAGAGAAGTGAGACAAAGCTACCAATTGTTGACTATAAATAATTCAAATCTTGTGATTGAACATTATAAAAAAAAAAAAAACTGAGTTTGAGTGATGACTTGACACTAATACTATGCACATGATCAATTACAGTTACTCAACTGTAAGGATGTGAAAGAAAGTTGAGTGGCCAACAATATTCTCTGAACAATGAATCACCCTTGTCACAATTTCATAAAAGAATAATGAATTTCACATTTAATATATATTAGAGTAAAATTGAGTATTTAAATATTTATACTATTCTTAATTTCTAAAATAATTATTAATTTTTGTGGGATAAAATCAATAAACCCAATTGAGTTAAACAATATTTTCCTAAATTATGACAATTTCGGTTACTCTCAATTTCAATGGAAAATTCAATTTTTTTTTTTTAGTACATTTACATAATAATTTCTAATAAAAGTTAATAAGTGAATCATACCATTGGTTAGACAGAGAAAAGGGAAAGTAAGGGGTGAGAGCCAAAAATACCTCAAGGAAGGAAAGGGTAGAGATAAAGGTGAAAAGAAGATTGGGGGACCATATAGAAGAATTTCCCAAATTATTGAATTGGCCTTGTGGCACTGTGCTTGTACTTCATGACAATCAGAATTTCATAAACTTTGCACAGCAAAAGAAGAAACCAATATGCCAACCCAATCTTTGGTAGATTCAAGGCATTTTAATTTTTTTTTTCATTCCTACATTTAGTGAACACCTAACTATATGTCCTAAATATCCAATTCATCTACCCAATGTCTCTTTGGTAGCCTAACCATTTAATTGTCTAATCATACTTGAAAAGGCAAACTATAACAACATACAAAGAAAAGGGGGAAAAAATTGCAACTATAATAGAAAACCCAACTAGAGAAACTCAATACCGAAAAAGAAAAACCGAGAGAAATGAGTCGACAAAAACGATCTGATTTTACTTAAGGTTTATATTTAATACACTGTCCGAATATATATTTTGTACGTTATCAGTACACTAAATTTCATAATTGTCACCCTGTTAATGGATAATATCTATCAAATTTAAAAAAAAAGGGTAATATCTGTCAAATGACATGGGCAGTTTAGTCAAAGAAAGGTCATGATTAAGCAGGAGGTCCAACATTAAAATATATAAGAAAAGAGAGATTGGAATGAAGATGTCAAAGGTTTGCTAAAGTCGCAATCAAACCATTGACGGTCTTCTCTGGAATCTTCATTGTTTCAATACATATAAAAACCATTAAGATGGTAAGGTAAGGCGTTAGTGTGTTATGCCCTTCTCTGCCCCTTGCTTGGTACTGCCTTTTCCTCCAAATTCACCATCAAGATGGAAACCCTTTGGCCAATTTCCTTTCCTCAATGTATCTTCACCACGAAGCCAAACCCACCAATTCCACCAACCTTCTTCACCTTTCAAATCTCACCTTGTCTTTTACGATCTGGTTTTACTCAAAAGAAACAAATTCAATCCCACATTACGAAGAAAGTTTAAATATATACGAAATTGGGTATGAAATTCGTTATGATATATAATAGGATGTTCAATTTACGTTTCTAAGAGTACCGTTTTGATGCACCCACAAAAATGTAGAACTCTTCACCTGTGAAAAAAGGCTGTGGCATGGCATGGCATGGCATGGCATGATATATTGAGGGAGGTATATTAAAGTAGCAGGCACCACCATGGCAAGGGTAAGCCAAGGCTGCCGCAAGGAACAACAGTCAAGGATAAACAAACACAGGCCACACCAAGTCTAACACCTTTTTCCTTTGGAATATTCAGAATTCCAGCCCATGAGTGTGCACGTGGGGGAAGGCTTTGATTGGAGAGTAAAAATCAAAGCAAAATAGAGAAGAAAGTGTGTGGCCATGAGATTGACCAAATATGTCCATGCACAAATCTGCCTCAATTTGGAATATTATAAGTATATAATTACACGTAGTTGGGCTTCAAATACAATATTATTTATTTATTTCCTCTTCAAAAGGTGACCATATTAATTAAAATAATTTGTAGAGTAAATATAAATTAGAAAAGGATGTGTAGGGTGGTGGCACATGGCATATTATTTTTTTTGGTCCAATGACCTTTAAATCAATGGCTCCCTCCCCAATTTAGTTAAAGATCTTTGCTTAAATTATCATCTTGATCTATGATTACGTATTATTATAGTCTTTTAGTGGTAAGTGATAATATTCTCTTTTCCTAATCATAGATGTTCTAAGCTTAGAATAGTGATTGTTTGCGAACTTTGTTTGGTGAAAGGCACAACTCATTCTTCCGTTCAATTTAACTTTGAGATATTACTTTCTCAAGATTCAACTCTCTTTCATTAGTGTTTTTCTTATCGTATATGTATATAAAATTTACCTGTAGATTGAAATGAGTCGAATATCTTTTTTAATACGTAACTCAACTCACCGATGATGATAAATTTTATATTTAATTAAAAATTATAACAATCCAATTAAGTCAAAGATTATATATCTTGGGTTCAAATTTATGATCAATGGTAACTTTGAAACAAAATATAGAAAAGGGTTCCCAATGCCACCCAATTATAATCTCAAATAATGGAAAGAAAGAAAAGGAACAGAAAAATGAAGTTATAGGATGCTGAAATATTCAATCAAAAGGGATTTGCCCTTTGGTTAACGAGAAAGAGCGAGTTCACTATTTTTGCCAACAAAAAAAGGGCAGTGGGAATTTATCTGATGATCATGTCCATGTCAATGACAATTGATGGTGTTCAATTGAAACCTTAGCACCTAACTGCTACTTTATACATTCACTGGGTTACATCATCTCCTAGAGTCCTACTCTAAAGTCTTAGGCAAAAATTTGGGTCATATAAGAAAAGGAAGCTAGGCTAGGCTAAGAGTTGTTGGGCATAAATGAGCTTTTACTTCTAGAGCCTTAAGCACCAAGTAATTTCACCTTAGGCAAGAGTGGTTAATCTACTAACCCAATTTACTAGCTAGCTTAAATTCTCTCAACTCTATCAGAGAGGAAGCAGAATTTTCTTGTATGACTCTGGAAACGGTGGCAAGTTCTTGCCTGCAAATTGACTTTTCCTCACTCTTATATTGCTGCTACTGTTATTGGTCCTTGCCTGCGAAATGACTTTCTTTTGAGTGTGAGAATTTTAGAGAGGAGAATGAAGAGGTTGGGCATGGGTGATCACTGAAGTGATGGAAATAGTATAGTGGTATCAGTTCATTCTTTAAAGTTGCTGTATCTTTTTGGGATCTGGATCCCATTATTTATGAAATCAATGTCCCCTTGATAGTTAAGCACCTTCAATAATATTATAGGTGGTGGCATTGATGTAAAGGAACATTAACAAGCTGGACCACATTGGCAGAAACATAAAGCAGATTTGCTCCAGGGAAAGAAAGAAAGAGAAATACATGGAGCACAGCCAACAATGCACATACATATACACAAAATTCTTGGGTTGTTTTCTACAGGATTGATGAAGAAATTATGTTGGTAAAAAAAAATAAATTGGGTGTAAAAGCTATAATTACTCAATCTGTTTATCAGATATCCTTTCGAGGGATGATTTCACTGACAGGATTCATGATCCCCCAGCCCCATGTGATTGGGCTATAATAACCCAAGGCGGGGTTAAAAAAGAGCAGAAAGAGGGCAGG